AATGAGAAGAGATGAAAATTAATTATAAAGAGAGAAAGGGCAATATTAAAATTAGTACACTGAATTAAATCTTAATCTACCCAAAATGCTTTATATTTTGAGATGGAGAAATTCATTCAAAAGTACCCTATAATTTAGAACGGATGAAGTATTAAAGAAGAAAGGGAGAATTTTAACTAAGGACTATGAAAGAAAGATATTTACCAATGGGTCTCAAAAGAACCTGAAATTTCACCGCTTCATTTCTAGAGTAAATTAAAATAAAATGGGTGGCTACAAAGTTAAAAAGTACTTAATTACTATCTAACTTGTTATTTGCTTACTTGTATTTGTACTTGTTAATTTCTTAATAGTACTTGTTCTATAACTAACTAGTTAATTATGTGACTCCATAATTTTATTTAAGAACATTACTTGTTAATTTCATGAATTCACTCGTTAGTTTGTTAATGTAACTTGACTTGTGAATTCTTTATAAGACCTTTTCACTCAATTTGATTGAAAAGCATTATCATTAGTTATTATTTTTCTTACTTCACTTGTTAATTTATCAATATTAATTGTAAATTACTTGACTTCACCAATCAATAATCATACCAATATTAGTTGTTAATTATCTAACTTGTATTTGTTAATTTACCAATATCATTTATAAATTATATGACTTGTCAATAATCAAACTGATTCAATTATTTTGTCCTAAATGCAAAATTATTAATTATTAATTTCTTAACTTTATTTGGGCATTTATGTCTTTTTAGTCATCCATTTTATTTTAATTTAGCCTAGAAATCCTATAGTAAAATTTTAAATTTTTTTGAAACCCACCGGTAAATATTTCTCTTTTATAATCATTAGTTGAAATTATTTCAAGAATAAATTGGTGAACCTTCTCATAACACGGCGTGAATAAACCTTTCCAACCACATAAAAGCTATTTTAAAATAAAATAAATAATTTCAAGTCATTTAATCCTCACTAATAATTTTCATAAATTCATAGAATGACACTTACATCGTCACAAATTAATCATACAATGCAAAGTCCAAGTCAAGCATGGGAAAGACTTTAACGCATCCATGACGGCAACCTCCTTTTTCTCCTTTTCTGGCCAACCTCCTTGACCACAGTGCCTCCAGCGAGAATGGTTGACGTTAACTATTATATTGATTAACTTTAATTTTTTTTAAGTTACAAATGAAAGAATTATTTTAAATAAATCATCATCCGTTGGTTTCAGCGATTTGTATTTTTCCAAAAAAAAATTATCTACCTTAATAGAAAATTCAGTTATTTTTTAAGTAAAATATTTATACTCCTTTTTATATTAAAAAAAAATCTTCATCTATTGAATTATTAATATCTATCACATTGACACGAATGATTGGCTGTTCAATTTTTTTTTTTTAATAAAAGTTAGTGAATTACATGTTTATAAATGGCCCAAGGATTCACTTCATATGATATCTTTCCTATTCCCACTATCCAAATTATAGGAATCCCAAACATGTCCATCATCATGTTCAGCCCTAAATTCAGTTTCTTTTGCCTTGTTGGGGTTTTATGTATGTTTTGGTGTACAGAACTGATAAGGAGACTGATAAGGAAGCTCTTCTCAAATTAAAAGATGGTTTCATTGATGGCTCCGGCATTTTGTCTACCTGGAAAAACGAAGTTGATTGCTGTCAGTGGAGTGGAATAACATGCAGTAATTTGACTGGTCATGTTATCAAGCTCAATCTTGAATATTATCTCCTTTCCGATGAACTGAGAGGTAATATCGATTCTTCGTTGTGTGATTTGCAGCATCTAACTTACTTGAATCTCGATGGAAACTATTTTGGAGGGAGCAAAATTCCTAAGTGCATTGGTTCACTTGGTCAACTAAGAGAGTTGAGCATTGTTGGTACTTCAATTGGCGGCACTATTCCTAGTGGACTACAAATTCTATCCAATGTGCAAACTCTTGACCTTGGATATAACCCTCTGATTGTCAATGATCTTGGGTGGATTTCTCATCTTTCTTCTTTGAGATATCTAGATTTGTCAAAAGTTAATCTAAGTCAAGTTATTGATTGGCAATCATCATTATCCAAAGCTCCTCATGTATCCGAGAAAGTAATTGAGCACAAGTTGAGATTGGAGACAAGTATTTCTGAGAATCAGTTTAGTTTTATGCCAGGTAGATTAACTACAGAGGAGATTTATCTACTAAGGAGATTAATGGAAAAGTATCGTTGTAAAGATAAAGATCTACACATGATTTTTATTGATTTGGAAAAAGCTTATGACCGTATACCAAGAGAAGTGCTTTGGAAAGCGTTAGAAAAAAAGAGAGTACGGATTACTTATATTAAAGACATACAAGATATGTATGAGGAGGTAAAAACTAGTATAAGAACACCTAGTGGTCAAACAAAAGATTTTTCTATAAAGATTGGACTACATCAGGGATCATCTCTGAGTCCTTATTTGTTCAACTTGATCTTAAATGTTTTGACGGAACATATTCAAGGGGAAATTCCGAAATGTATGCTCTTCGCAGATGATATAGTTCTTATAGCAGATACAAGAGAAGAGGTTAATTGCAAACTTGAGTTATGGAGGAGGACATTGGAGTCGAAAGGTTTTCGTCTGAGTAGAAGTAAGACGAAATATTTATATTATAAATTTGGTAAAGGACTATTCGACAATAATTTGGAAGTGAAATTGGGAGATCAAATTATACCTCAAGTGGAAAAGTTTAGATATTTGGGAGCCATTATTCAAAATGATGGCGAAATCAGTGGAGATATTTCACATAGAATTCAAGCTGGGTGGTTTAATTGGAGAAAAGCTAAAGGAGTTATTTGCAACAGTAAGGTGCCTAATAAACTTAAAGGAAAGTTTTATCGCACTGCTATCAGACCGGCAATGTTATATAGTAGTGAATGCTGGGCTCTAACGGGACAGCAAGAGCATAAAGTTAGAGTAGCAGAGATGAGAATGTTACGATGGATGTGCGGCCATACACATAAAGATAAAATTCAAAATGAGCACGTACGTGAAAAAGTGAGGGTGGCACCTATTGAGGAAAAAATTGTAGAAAATCGGTTGAGATGGTTTGGGCATGTACAAAGAATACCAAGGGAGGCACCGGTGAGAAGAGTGGAACATATAACTTTGAGTCCGATTAAGAGAGGTAGAGGAAGGCCTAAGAGAACACTTTTGGAAGTTATTGAACGCGATCTATTAATTAATAATATTCCTAAAAGCTTCATAAATGATAAAGCACAATGGCATCTTGCAATCTATGTAGCCGACCCCACCTAGTGGGATAAAGGTTTGTTATTGTTATTGTTGTTGTTGTTGTATTGTGAACTAATGTCTCATGTCAGCCATAAATCTCTTGTCCATACCAACTCTTCCACTTCCCTCAAAGCCCTTTCTCTTGAATTCCATTATTTAGACTCTTCAATCCTACATTGGTTGTCTAATGCTAGTAAAGTCTTAATAGATCTTCATCTTTATGGTAACGCTTTAAGAAAAATTTTTCCAAATGCTCTCAATATAAATTCCCTTAAAATTTTAGATCTTGGATCAAATTCTTTGCATCTTATTCCTTCAGATGCTTTCACAAATACCACTTCTCTTGAATCTCTTGATCTCAGTTAAAATAATCTTGAGAATAGCATGCTAGAATCCATTACAAATTTGTGTCGACTGAAAGAGTTAGATTTGAATGACAACAATTTCTCTAGACAATTAAGTTATTGGATACCACAGTTAGGGTGTGTCCAATATAGCATACAGAGCTTGCATTTATCAAACAATCCATTTAGCAGCGAGCCATTCCCAAATTTTTCCAAATTTTTAAAAGTGGAGGCTTTATATCTTAGGAATACTAGTCTGGATGGGTCAATTCCACAATCATTTGGGCACTTACCTTACCTTTCATCATTGGATCTAAGTTATAACAACATAACAGGGCCCTTGCCGAAATTTGTTAGACTTGTATCATTGAAGTACTTGCATCTTTCCAACAATAGGTTGACTTATGTTATTAATGAAACACATCTATCAACTCTATCTAACTTGAAAGGTTTAGATGTATCAATAAATTTGATTTCTTTCAACTTCAGTTCAAATTGGGTGCCACCTTTTCAATTGAGAGTCTTTTTAGCATCATCATGAAATCTTGGTCCCCACTTTCCAAGGTGGTTAAAATATCAAAGGGAGCTTAGGATGTTGGACATCTCAAATGCATCAATTTTAGATTCAATCCCTCAATGGCTTTGGTTATTGACTTCTTTACAGCACATGAATCTTTCCCATAATAGACTTTATGGGGAGTTGCCAAAATCATCCTTGAAAATTTACGATTATATTTTGGATTTGAGTTTCAACAATTTGTGTGGCGCCCTACCATATTTTCCACCATTTCCAAGGGGATTGCTTCTCTCAAATAACATGTTTTCAGGAACTATATCTTTCATTTGTGCAACTTCTCAAACAAGATTATATTATCTTGACATGTCAAACAATTTTTTATCAGGAAGACTTCCTGATTGTTGGGGGCAACTTCCTTCATTAAGGGTTTTAAGAATGGAAAACAATCATTTCTCTGGGGCAATACCGAAATCGATTAGTACTTTGAACGACCTTGAAAGTGTCCATTTGAATAACAATAGCCTCTCTGGAAATTTACCATCTTTGATGAATTCTTCTGAGTTATTGTTCCTTGATTTTGGCAAAATAATTTGAATGGGAAATTGCCATCATGGATTGGGCAACACTTGATCAATTTGATCGGCTTACGTTTGCAAGCAAATAAGTTTGAAGGAAACATTCCAACAAACTTTTGTAATTTGCCACTTCTTCAAATCTTAGATCTCTCACAAAATAATATAACTGGAAGAATACCTCATTACTTTGGTAATTTAAGTGCCATGTCAAATATGACATCTATGAGACAAGCAATTTCTTATTTTGTTTATGGAAACTATGGTGAATTATTAATCATGGACACAGCGACATTGTCATGGAAAGGAGAACTTGTTGAGTACAGTAAGATTCTTGGACTCATGAAAATCATTGATCTCTCTTGCAATCACTTAACAGGAGAAATCCCAAGTAGCATAACTACACTTGTGGCATTGGCTTCCTTAAACCTATCTATCAATAACTTGATAAGATCCATTCCTAATAACATGGGTCAAATGAAAAGATTAGAATCACTTGATTTGTGAAGAAATTCTCTTTCTGGTGAAATTCCAGCCAGCTTATCATCCTTGAGTTTTCTCAGTGTCTTGAACTTGTCCTTCAACAACTTATTGAGGAAAATTCCAATTGGTACCCAACTTCAATCCTTCAATGCTTCTAGTTATACAGGAAATGGGGGCCTCTATGGCTTGCCATTGACAAAAGTATGTCCAAATCCAAGTCCATCCAATAATATTGATGCAAGTGACGGAAATGATAAGCTCGTCAACTTGGGGTTTTATGTGAGCATGGCTTTTGGATTCATTGTTGGATTTTGGGGAGTTTGTGGAACCTTAGTTCTCAAAAATTCTTGGAGACATTCCTTTTTTTGCTTTTTTGAAGGCATGAATGACTGGATTTATGTTCACTTTAATGTCTTGAAGGCAAAGATAAACAGAGGATTCCAAGACTAAGAGGTGAGCATTTTCATTTTAACTCCAATATTCTTACTGTAAAGATTCATTTGATGGATTGTTGCTGTGCATTTCAACAAATTTTGTTTAAAGTAAACTAATTTTTTTTTCCTTTCTAAACTTTCTTTAAATATGCATTGATTTCTCTGTGAACCTACAATATTAATATTACTCACTAGTGATATAGTGAGTTAAGCAGATGATATATTGTAATAAATTAGTCAACTTTTGCTAGTAATTCTAATGTGTACAATATATTTGATTTAGACAAGCATGTTTTGTAATAAGAATTTAAGAATCTTGATGAGTTTGCTTGAATATGTAGATGGTCCGAGAAATTTATAGAAATTCACGTCATGTTGTGGATGGTGATCAAGAGAGCAAGATTGGATCTGCCTCAAGAAAACATAACTTTTTTGTTTGGTTATGTTTGTCTCTTTCTTTCAGTGGCAGTTGTGATAATGTTTAGTGTTGCCTCTTGTTTTTCATTTTTTTTTTTTATGAAAGTGTAATAAAAAAAAGGGTGAAAAGTTGGGTGAGTGGTTATAATGAAGCTAGTAGTGTTGTTCCCTTTCAAAAGTTTTTAGTACTGTGTTTTCCTAATAAATGAGTTTTAGAAAATTGGTTGTATTTCATAATTAAACATATATATATATATACACACATCATTAATACTATTTACAGGACAGAGAGAGATAGTATTAATTTTGGTCCTATTTAATTATACCCTTATTAAGGGCTACAAAAAAATCATTAAAAATAATTCTTTTTGTCCTTTTTAGAGGTAGTGGTGGAAACTTATCAAATTTTAAAATAAAATTAGTGAGATTTAAAATTTTTTTAGTTATAGTAAAACATATCCGAAGTAACTTATAAATAGAACTAATGGGAATATAAAAGAATTGATTTGAACAAATAATAAGATTGCTTGATTTTTATTAATAAATAGCTAGAAGAATATTTCTTAGGGACTAATGGCCGATTGAGTCCGAAATTATTTCTTGAAAACATTTCATAATCAAGCTTGGTGAGATTTAGGAACTTCAAGATTCCAAGATTTAAAAAATGTACTTTATACATGAATCATTACATGTGATATGCCTTTGAATTTAGGCCCTGAATTTTAGAATAATAAAAATAACTAATTAAAGTAAGTAATCTTATTTGAACTATTGATATTATCATGGTTGAAAATGAAAAAGAGTGCAAATCTGATTTTAGGAAGCAAAGAGGAGAAGAAAATCTATTGAAGGAAAAAGAAGCAAAATACAATAAGAAAACTTCCATCCAATATACGATGGGTAGTGAAAAATAGGAAAGTTTAGACTTCTTTGATTTCTATTCCCATTTTTATTTTTAAAAATTGTTTTGCAATATAGTTTTTAAAATTGTATTTCAAAACAAAACAAAATAAAAATTTGTTTGGTTATGTTAATTTTAAAAAAAATAGAATTAAAAAATAGATTAATAATGATGGTTATAAGCAGTTAATTGTGATAATTTATAATAAAAATATATCACATAATTATAATTTTTGATTATCAAATGTAGTGCATTTTGAAAATAAAAACAATTTGAAATTATTTCTATTTTTTATTTTTAAAAATAAAAATGAAAACATTTTTGAAAATAATTAAATTAAAAACAATTATGTAAATATGTTTTTAAATCTTCTTGTTTGGAGAAGTGTTTTTAATTTAATTATTTTCAAAATTAATGGAAACATATTAAAGCTATTTTTCGTTCTATTTCCCCTATTTTCAAAGTATATTATACTTGATTTATTGAAAACTAAAGTCAACTTAACTAATTATTATCATAAGCTATCACAATTAATCACCAATGATCATCACTATTAACTAATTTTTAATTATAATTTGAATTAATCTTGATAGGAGGTGATAATATCTCTAAGTTTTTCAAATTGCTGAGTAATGAAATAATAAAAAAAATATAAAATTAATTTTTAAATTAACATAAGCAGATGAATTTTTTATTTTGTTTTGAAAAAAATTAAAAAATATATTACAAAATACTTTTTAAAAATAAAAAATGAAAACAAAAGCCAAATAGGCCATTAATTGTTGAAAGGTACTACACTTGAAATTTTCGTACCTGCTTGGTGATTGCCCATACATAAAAATCCCTTGCTTCTTACTTGGGAATATCCAAATCATAGTTGGGATCAACTACTCAACTGCGGATCTCAATCTCAGTGAGAAAAAACGGAAGTTGAATATCATGCTGCGTATAATATAGGTGGTGGATTTGATTGAGCTCTCAACCATTCAATTTTTATTCCTCAACGTAAGAGGTTATTAACATATTTTATGATAAATAAACTATTATATTTTTATTACATTAGGAAAAAAAAGCAATCATAAATTTACTTTAAAAAAATTATTTTTATTTACAATAATTAAAAAAAATTGAAATATTATTGTCTTTTTAAATAGGCAACCAACTTTTATTTATTTATATAATTTGATTAAAAATATGTTATATATAGAGTTAGAAGAAGTATTTATTATGCAGTAACACTTGTCATCTTCTATCAACCTAGTCAAAACATTAATCACACTTGTCCTCTTAGCTCGTCCCCTATTTCAAATATTACTTTTGACTAATATATGGATTCCAACATTTCCCAATGTCTAAAAAAGTTTGCAAAAAAAAAATCAGAGAAACAGAAGAATAAACTGTTCATCCACAAGAACCATGCCAAGATATTGAAACCTTATTGGATATCCAACATCAATCATTGGCATTTCCATCCAAATAAAGAAAACTTAACAAGCAAATGCCCCAAGAGTCATGTTTAAGACACAATTAAATGTTCCTCTCAGCAATGCTATTCAGAGTTCAACTTCCCAAAGATCAACCACTTGGTCTCACTTTAATTCCCTTACATTAGTGGCATCCACCGATAGAGATTTAGTAATATTCACCCAAAGGGAAAGGAACAGGCAGTGAAAATCAGAGGAACAGTCATGTTTAAAACTGTTACACTTCGATATTAAGGGTATGACTAGCACAGAATTTAAGATAAATTTACATTCCATAATCCTTAATTATATGAGGTTAAGCTAAATAATCCTTCACAATAAAGGGGCACTTTAGTAATTTTTTATATAAAGAAAAAAAACTATCATTTAATTTAAGTAAGATTCAAACTTTAGACCTCCACATGAGTGATCAGTATAAATCTCACTAAGCCAATACGCTTTTTATATTATAAACTAAGATAATTAACTAAAATATTGCTAGGAAAGAAAAATTATTTAATTTAAATTTTTGGATCATTATAAAAACAAAGCTTATTCAAATTTCAATTTGAAGTTCAAAATTTAAATCGTTAAAGTACTAAAAAGGAAAGGGAACACAGATTTCTTTGACCAATAAATAGTAACAGGGACACACTATTAGAGCTCAGGCCAGCACCCTTCATAGTGCCAATGAATAGAAGCATGTGCCTGGAGATATCACGATCCATCGGATTGGCTAGGAGTGATTTTGTAGAGATATAGATTAGCTAAGAACACATAAATGAAATAAAAATATCTTTTGTTCCCCACCTTCAACACACTCTTGATCAAACAGTGTCATCAAAATTTTACCACAATCAGTATTTTGTTGTCATGTCATATAAATTAAGATATTTCCAATCAATGATTGGATGAGTAACGTCTATCAATAATAAAGATTACTTTTTTTTTAAGGGGGGTAACAAGGCCGTGATAAGAAAGCCAACTTATGTATTCATTAGTGTCTAGAAGCATGGTAAAAAATAACAAAGTTTGATCAATACTTTTATCTTTTTAATAGCATTAGCTGAAGGATGATTGCAAGAATAATACATTAAAATAACAATGAGAGCCTGTTTGAGTCACTATAAACATTAACTTCATTGCATCTCTTATCCCGGCATAATCGTAAACTTTCCAATGCAACTAAAACCTCAGTAGTAATGTTAGGCAGGTATCCTGGCTTTTCTGAAAAGTCCCTTATCTAGCTGCTGTGATAATGTTGGAAAACTCATTTACAAGAGCCTTCAACGTCTAATTTGACCTAGCCAAAAGGAGGCAAAACCTATTTTTGGAGTGAACATCTTCATTTTATTTGCAGCATTTCTAACTGAATTTGCATGAGTCAAGGACAATTTGATCATGCTAGCTAGCTCCATAAACTCATTGCCCTCCAAGTTAGACATCATTAAGATGTAAAATTTCTTTTATAATCATGTATGTAGGTTACATTTCTTCTCCTCCTTGTGTTAAATAGAAGCTAGAAGCAGGGAATTTTTTTTTCCACCTCCCTAGAAATGACAGATTAGATCAAGAGAGACAGATGATGTCATGCATTGTATGAAAACTAAAGTTGAATGTTGAATTGCATAGTACAAGCACAAATTGTAAATAAACAAATTAATTAAGAAAAAAGTATCTAAGAATACATAAGCCAATCATCATTCTATAAATTAAAAAAAACACAGAAAATAGCCAGGTGCTGCAAATCTGGAATAGCAAGTTTTGTTTTATCATTAATATATTTTTGTGATGTATTATCTTTATAATTTAAAGTAGTCATTCTATCAATATGGCTCATATTATAATACATACAATACAATACATCAAAAATTAAACATTTGTAATTTCACATGATTGAACAAGCATTAGGGTTATCATCATTAAAGAGCACCATGAGCTTCATCTCAGGGGACTTGGGATCTCCAAGTGCTTGAGGCACATTCCTCACAAAACCATTAGGAGCTTTGATGTCATAAGCTCCAACTTGATATGGGAAAGGGACTAACTCATGATCCACAAAAGGCCAAGCCTCTGCGCTCTTCCCTCTGCTCTTCACTTCCTTTATTACTTCTTTACGATCCACGTGCCCTCTCACTGTCACCCTCTGTTCCTTCTGGTTTATATCCACTGACTCCACCCCTTCATTTTCACAATTTTTGTTTCATTTTAAACACATTGCATTAAAAAACCACAATATCAAAGGTCAGTATGGCTTCCAGTGCATAAGCAAATTAAACTCTTGATTCCCTTGCATAAAATAAGAATGAAATAAAAGAAAATAAGATATAATAAGATCAGAAGCTGGCTACATGACGCGTCTTTGTTCATTAAGTAGTATGACTTAATTAGCTTGCATTGAAAGTTGTGTATATGATATATATCTTTCTTCTTTATATTTTTTTTTTTATTTGTGTTCATATTTTGATTCTCTTTCATTAAAATTGTGTTTATCTTCTCCTATTTAGGAATTGATATGTTGCCTTAATCCAAGCGCTAAAGTAGGAGTTTAACACAATGACTTATTTAACATAATACACAGCTTTCAAGTCAAACCACTCTCTCATCACATAATGAAATTAATTAGCATGTGAAATTTGAGACAAAAAAAATTATAACAGTTTTTGATGAAAGAAGTGTACATGCATATGTGAATATGTATGCTATTACTGACTTAAAAAAGTCAGACTCGTATCTAATTCCTAAATGTTTTAATAATCAAAACTAACTCAAAAATCTTTTTCTTTTTCTTTTTTAGGGGGGAGAATAATAACCCAAAAATTTGATAAAATCTTGATAGTGTAAAGTATCGGGGGAAAAAAACTCGTTACCAAACAAATCCATAAATGGAAGAAGAAAGAGGATGAAGACAGGTTTAATGAATTGAACCTCCCAAGCCTTCGACGGCATTCCTAACTTTCTTGACGCAACCTTCGCAGTCCATTTTCACCCTCAGACTTACTGTCTATATCCCAATCATCAACACAACCAGAAATGATTTTAATTAGTTACAAATATGGGTTCATGACTATCTTGGCTTGGGTAACAACCAATACAGAGTTAAGAGTCATTTTTTTCTCTCAACTTTATCTGAAGGGTTACTGGCACCCTAAACTCAATTATGAGACAACTCTATCCCTCAATATTAAAGATTCTTTTCCTCATCACCTTATCATTTTTTCATTGTCTCTTCATCGTTAGTAAGCCTACATTACATTTTTGTTAAATATTTTTATTATAAAATATTTGAATTGAGGGTACTCTTTAATTCTTTGAGTAAAAGATAAAGAACAAAAATGACCCTTAACCTAATAAAAAAATTAAAAATATATTAAAAATAGTGAAACCCACAGATGATAAATGAACGTTAGGCATTTTTAATATCAAGGTGATAAGGAAGGAAATCTTCAATGTTAAGGGATAAAATTGACTTAAAGTTGAGTTTAAGATATCCAATGATTTTTAGGATAAAGTTAAGGAGTAAAAATGACCTTTAATTCATAACTATATGCGCAGATACACACATAAACACAAACATATATATTGAAGTTAGAGGCATGAAGAAAAGGAAAGATGAAAACCTGCAGGGGCAAGCGTTTGTGCGTTGGAGGGGAACAGGTAAAGCATTGAGGGAGAAGGTCAAGAAACCCCATTTATGAATTATGAAAATGAGATCTTCCTTCTCAAGCACAATACTTCTTTGTGGGAAACACCCACTTCATTAGTTTGGGGTACACGGTACGCACAAGTATTGTTTCAAAGTTCTTTTATGGCACAAAAATCTTCGTCTACCCATATCTTGGAATTTTCCATTTTGTTCATATTTTACTGCTGGTGGCCTTTAATACCCAATTAATAATTGAAATGTGAAAACGTGACATATTAATTATGTACATATACTACATTTTTGACGTGTTATCCTGTTGTCACCAAATTTAAATGCATTATTGTTTATTACTAGTGATTGTAGGCTAGCTTTCTTTAATTTGTAACTACCGTTGGGAACCTCTGACTTCCGCAGCATAATGATTAATAACAACCCTTGGCAACTGAATAATTTCATCATGCGTTCTTTCACATCAGCCAACTGCATTAATTTAATTCTTTTTAATGTTAAATTTGTCTTTAAAATAATCGAATCCAAGTTGTCAAGAAACAAGAAGAATTTTTTTTTAATTAGATTGAAAAGATTTGAATCCTTGACTTGCACTTATACTTGTAACACACTAAAATTTTTTTTTAAATAATTTAACTCAATCATAGTTAGATTACAACCATCCAATACATTTTTTATATCAATAATTTTAATATAAAATATTTTATAATTGGCTTCAACTCACACAATATAACATTTCAGATAAATTTTTACCTCCCACATGCCATTAGGCTAAATCACATTTGTCCATCCTTATACTCCCAACAAGTAAACTAAATCACATTTGTCCATCTTTATACTCCCAACAAGTAAAATAAACAATTTAGTCAATTTTCAACACAAGCCAGTTATTTGGCCTCATAATCATGCCATTTTAACCAATCCAAAGTAAATCAAATATTAAAATTACAGTCATCCAAAGTATACCAAAAATAGAAATAGTTTGAAAGGCATGATTACATTTATATATTCATATAATTGTCAATAAACAAAAAGCCCTAATATTGGCAATATAACACATTATAAATCATAAATTAAATACCCAAAAGAGATAGTGGATCTATGCCACTAAGCCTTTGGACTCCTCCACGTGTCACTCGTGGCTCTTCTCCTAAAATTGTTAATCACATAATGAGACTCAAAAGTCCCAATAACCAAAGTCAATTTATGATAGTGTATACAAACAGTTAAGTGTGTGCTTACTAAGTGGGACCTAAAAATAATATAATTTCAACAAAATATAAGAAATATTATAATACACACAAACAACCATCCTTATATCCCTCCATTAACCTCGAGCCGTAGCTCTCACTCGGTGCTAAATTACCCGGCCAAAGGTAGATTAGCCCGAGCCCTTACAAGTCACCTATTAAGCTCCAATAGGGGCGTACCACATGGCATATAATATACAATAACAATAGCAAGTCTCCCAACACCTCCCACAATAATCAAACAAATTCATAATAATATTGCACAATATACAATATTAAAAAAATCATAATTTCTTAATAATCACCCAATTAATATGAAGTAATACTAATCATAAATTAAAAGCATGGTTACCTCGTGGCTTTTTCAATAAATTATTCCTTACAATTTCTCTCCCACCACAATTTTCACTAATAATACAATCTACAAATAACATTATTTATAAATATTAGTTTTAATTTTTGAAACTAATAAAATAATTCTAATAATAGAATTAAAAATGTAATATAATTCCTAATCTCAATCTTAATACAAATCTAGAGTTAATACTATTAAGTAAAATTTTTAACTCCTCTTTTAGTCATCAATAAACATTAATAATCTAAAAATCAACTTCTAAACTAATTTCTATTATTAAAATTTTCTTTTTATTTCATAAATTCGCACCTAAAATACCCAAAATTAAAAATTGAATCTCTAGCTTAGAATCATAATCCTATAGCCATAATAATTCATTTCTCATCCCAAATAATCATCTAAACCTCAATAAATCAACATATATTTTCAGATCTAGTTTAGAATTTGATCCATAAGTCATAAATTCAAAGATCATCAATAAATTTATACTCTAGAACATTTATTATACTACTAACAACCTCATAAACCATATTTATTCAATATAAATTCATTCCTCTTCCAGATCCTAAATTTTCTACCACCACAAAATCAGAAACCAAAAAGGAAGGATGACTAAGAAAAATTTTTAGAACACTTACTTAGTCTTGAAAAACTTAAAACTACACCCTAAATATCCTATTAAAAACTCTTACCTTAAAAACTCAGATCTCCCGCACCGGCGACTCACGCTCACTCTACCTCAGCTCGCACACGAAGGAAAGAAGTGAAGAAACGAAGGAAACAAGTGAGTTTTTATAAAAATTTAATAGGTCCCATATTTTTTTTAATTATTTCTTCTTTCCTCTCTCTTCTTCTCCTTTTTTTTATTATTTTATACGTAATCATGCGCCGAAAGCCACCGATTGCGTTTTCTTCTTTCTTTCCTTCCTCTTTCTCATACCTTTTCTCTTTCTTTCTTTTTATAATAATAATAACAATTTAATAATATTTATTTATTTTTTTAATTAATTAATAATTTTTTAATTTTTTTATTTTAATTTAGAATTATATCCTAAATTAAATTTAATAATCATTTTTTACTAATTTGTTTACCTCTAAATATTTTTTAAAATTTCTATTAATCAAAATTAACTATTAAAATTTAAATTGAGATGTTACAGTACTCCATTCCATTTCTATCCTTACAACTTGAGTTAGTCTCAAGTGGCAAAATTAACAAATAAGTTTAGTCTATGTTTAAGACATATTCTGTTTGACTGGATTATTTAGAAGTCGGAGGGAATCAGAAGACATGTTGTTAGATGAACGAAATCCTTGCAATACCTTAATCTGTGTAAGGTTCAAGATTAGAGACTTAACGCCAGCCGTACGAGGAGATTAAAGCAGTCGAACATCATCTCCATATTCTTACTTGGGAGGTTTCAATTAATTTTATGTAGATTCAACTGAATGTGCCAATCTAATGGCTAGTATGTCTCATGGTTTTAATGACGATATTTTTAGCACAAAGAGCAAGCCAAGCGACTTGAAAGCTGGCAGAATCAAACCTATGACCTCCCACCAATGTTGGAAGTTTGGTACTAATTTTTTACTAGTTTTCCTAACAAAAAAAAAATCTTACATTCATATATTAACATATATGGGAGAGGGAATGGCATAAAACGTCATGATGATGACAGTCCAGAATTTTCATCTCATTTTTCTCATCAACCCCCAAACCAGCACAACTGAACGTAGGGGGTGTGCGAGTGTGTTCACTTTGGCACATGTTAAATAGTTACAGATTAAGGTTGTCATTCTGGGTTATGTTTCCATTGTGGGCCGGACATTCTTGTTCATATGATAAAAGATATTGTAGAATGTGGAAGATTACTAGATAAGAAGAAGGAAATAATTTTAAGCCTTCTTCTTTAGGGTGAAATATGAAGATGTAGGAATATTCAACATATCTTGTTACTGCTAAATCAGCTTCTACTACAAATACCATCTTTATAACATGTACAAGTTACATCAGAGAAAGAAAGTCTGCTCTGATGTTTCATGTCAAGATAAAAGATAGAATTCGAACCTCCAAATGCAAAGCACTGATCTCCATAGCCTGCTTCCAATCGCACAGAATTTAATGCACACTTTCTTTAATCTGGTTTCTTCAAGTTCAAGCAATTATCTGATGCTTGCCTAAATAACTTCTGCACCTGATTTAATTCCTTCTCTGACATCAACAACATATCAAGAATGTTAGTTAGGCAATCGCAGATCACATTCACTATTAAGTCACACCAACGCAAAAGATGAAGACACCCTAGCATTTAAAGGATCAAGAACCTAACTTATCATTTTGTTGTTGTTGTAATTCCAATAAGAACTCATACAAGTGGATCATATATTCATAATATCATTCTACTTCAAATGAGAAACAAATGCCACACCATCTGTAGGTCCCTGAAACAATCTTCTATTGGTTTGGTTTTCTCATACTGACTCCTTGAAAAACCTGTTCGTTACAAAGAAAAAATATAAAAACTATATTCCAAGGAATCCTCTTACATTTAATTGACTTATAGCTGGCCCAAAAAAAAAAGTTATAGAAGGATTTTGCAAATTCTCCTTATGCCATTTAGAATTAATATGCCTCATGACGTTCTAAATAGCAGAGAAGGCAAAGTTCTGAAGAATAAAGTGAAGAAGGGAAACAGACCTGCAGCTTCCAATTGCTTCTGAGGTTCTTGGCGTATTACATCCTTTTCAGCCTGTGAAGATTAAAGATCAGCATAAGAACATGAATTAGATTTAGCAGATCACACTCTTACTAGGCATGGAAATTATGTGGTACAGAAACTGAATGGAAAAAGGCACTCTCATTTATTCACTGAAAATTAGCTGCTATTAAACTGAAACTGTGCCTTATTTATACTGCCATGGCCAAAACAAAATAGAAGGATTAAAACGGAGGTTACACAAGTTACAAATGGATTTTGAATGCTATTAACATGAGACGTTTCTAAGACGTGAATGCAACATTCATGCTTCCGTTTCTGCAGGTCTTGTTTCTGTTTCACTATGGGACGACTGTATATTCCCATGCGTTTTTTAGGGACAAATTCCCACAGAAGATTAACTTTATAAGCCATGAATGATATATGAATATTAATAAATGAACTGAGCTCCATACCTGTAATTCGGCAATCCTCCTAAGATGTTCTTCTTCCCCTCCCTCAGATACAGGAAGCGCAGCAACTAATGCATCAAACTAGACGAGAGACAGATGACACACTCGAAGGATCACTAGGAAGTCATGGGGAAAAATTATCTTTTATTTGTACATTCTCAATAGCAATCTTGATACAAATAATAATAAATATTATTATTTATTTATTATTATTTGTAATCAATACTATATGTTTAGACGCATAAACATATATTTGACATATTTCAATATATCATTTTAAGTTACCATACTTATGTCCATCAATAGTAATGTACTAATCTGATCTTTTAAGTTTATTGCACTGCATGTCCTTAAAGCTTTGGATCACACTATACACTACTGGTTATGTCATGTTCTGTAGTGTTTCATGTACTTCACACTCAAATTTCCCTTCCCATTGCATATGACAAAAACTTGGCATCATAAACAAGCCTCATTCTTTATTGCTTTGACTACATATCTACATACCTGCTTTGCAGCCTTTACCAACACAGCACTCATAAGCTTGGGCTGTTCTGCAAAATTTGTTGCATCCTCTGTAGGATGTGCAGGTGGTTCAGGGTAATTTGGTGGCAGCCGATTATGAGGAGCGTCACTTTGAAATGTCCCAATGGTATTAAAAGCAAGATGGGCAATCAAGTTAACTTGTTCTTGTAGTTGAGAGATGATATCCATTACAAAGGACCACTCGCAAAAAAGAATTGTCTCAAGAAAAATTTAACTACAAAAGAAAACCGGTTATATGAATGTGTAAAACATGTAATAATAAAATCTTTTTCTCAAATTTGACAATGTATCCCAAAGTTTCTGGAAACATTGACACTTCAGAAGAAATAGAAAGCAAAGGATGGTGGAGTTGGTTAATGAGTAGGGACTTTAATTTGTGTCTTTTTGGAAACCAATAATCACATTATGAATCACATAGTTAAAACATGAGTTGGAAGCTTGAAATTTTAAGGTATATCTATTTAAAACTTAAGAACATGGAAAAAATATGATATCATTATAAGAATAATACTTGAGACTTTAATAGAAAAAATTCACAAACTACAATAAGCAAGTCATGATACATATGCGATATGAGTCATGCCAGACAATTTGATTTTGAATGAAATTATATGATTCCTTGTAAATAATGTTAAACATTTTAATAACTAATTGATAAACAAAATATTTCCTCAATGTCAACTTTTTCTTAAACAAAGTATTTTAATTTCAGTAAAATTTAATAAGGTCTATATAATTGATTTTCAAGACAATTTAACAAATACAAAAGCAATAGATTATTTTGGCCTTATTTCTTAGACAGGAAAAAAAATAAAAAGTATTAAAAAAACGCTCCCGTTAGGTTGTCTCAAACTCAATGAATAATTTAAAAAAAAAAAAAAACTGCTCTGCAACAAAAATTAGATACTGGTCAAAAAATATCTCAGATATAAAGAAAAAATTCTCCCTATTTGTTGAAGCCACAATTGTTTCATGTTTCAGAACTTAAATCAATTTATTGTAATATTGATCAACAAAATATGCATATCAAAGTCAATATAGAAGTCTTGGGCCAAAAAAAAAAAGAGTCAATGTAGAAGTCAAAAAAAATATTTCGACAAATGGAGCTGGAACTGGATTCTCCTAAGGCGCTGAGACCCATCAGTACGGAAGTGAGTGATGAACACGCTGATAATGGGCTGATTAGAAAGATTCAATGCATGGTTAAAAGGTCCTGTGATGTGCGTCTCCGACACGTGAACCGAAAGATGAACATAGCAGCGGGTTTCTTGGTGAAATATGGCCTTAGCATGATGCCAGGCCTCACTATTGTTGCTGACGCACCTGATGCTTTAAGGGATATTATCTTGAAGGACGGTGCTGGTCTGCACAATGCTATTGGCTAATTGTTAGCCTGGTTTCGTCTTTTCTTATCAAAAACAAAAAAAAAAGACAGAGAAAGAAAGAAAGAAAGAAATCAAAGCTAAAATTAAGATAGACCGCAATTTTTACGCTTCGGATCGTTTTTTATTTAGTACATAAATACACATATTGTACGAATAATAAATTAAACAATTTTTCTCTATCCGTCTATTAGGATCTTTTCAAGAATAATATTAATTAAAATTAATTTGGATCATTATTCAATGTGTAGGTACTCCCTAGTCCCTCCATTAAAAAATATAGCATTTTGTTAAGATTAAATGTTTAAAAATATAAGATATTTTGTGTTTTAATGTGTAAATAATGTGCTTTTTTCAAAAATACATGTAATAAATAAATTTATATTTATTTTAAAGTAAAACATTCTATATATATATATATAGATATATTCAACAGACATGCATATGAAAATAGATTGTCGGACACCATGATACATTTTGTCATATTAGAACTATAGACAGACTTAGGCAACCAGTCGGTGCATAGTCGAATCTGAACATGCCAATCTCTGTTGAATAAACTTCTAATTTCATTTATCAGCACCCAGAAAGGTTGTTTCGAACTATAGTCCCTGGTGATGAGCCGTGCAGCTACCAAAGGATTGCTGCAGATCAGAACCTTTGTGAAATTTTCATTCCAGGCATAATGCAAACCATGATAAATAGCCCATAGTTCAGCTGTTGTCAATGGAAGAGAAACCCCACAAGCTGATATTTTCCAGCAAAAAAATATATGATGCCATGGTTGTTGCAACGGGAAAAAAAGGAAGAGAAATCATCTCAAGGGTGACTCGGAAGTTAAACCGGCTGAGATTTTCATAAGAAAGTCAAATGTAAGAAATGGGTCAACTGTAAGGCAAGATGCAGCATATCAAATTTCTGAAAAAGCTTCTTCTTTGGCCCTTCTCAGATGCCACCAACCTTGGCAATGATCCTCAGATTGTCAGCTAAATTACTTAGTTGATCATTATGCCAAATATAGTTCGCTGACTGATACAGATGGATGAGATGACCTTGGGCAGGATCATTGTGATATATTCCAGCCTCACCCAATGATAGGAGTTTTCCTAATTTTATCAATCTTTAGGGACAGCATTTTGACTGTATCCTCCCTGCCTCCATCATGAAGAGCCAGTTTCAAGTTACTAAACATTGGGCCAGGGGGTCGAATGCCTACATCCAACATCTCTTGGAAGTATTTACAAGCATCGTCTAATCTATTTTCACGGCATAAGGCATTGATTAAGGTGGAAAACATGTGCATTCCAGGAAGAATTCCCTTAACCTTCATCTGATCCCAAACTCTGATTGCCATATCAACTCGCTCTTCATTACAGAACATCCTCACTATGATCTCATAAGTGCTCACAGTAGGCTCACAACCAGAGTCACTCATTCTTTGGAAAACTAAGTAAGCTTCCTTTGTTTTTCGAGCCTTTATCAAGTGATGTAGTATTATGTCAAATGTTCGAGAATTTGGACCAACCCCACATTTTTTCATCTCATCAACCATCCTGTAAGCCTCATACATCTTCATTGACCAGCAATAAGCCCCAACAACAGCATTATATGTCGGTGCTTCTGGGGCAAAACCACTAGCCTTGAATTTTTCAAAAAATTTAAGAGCCTCATCCAATCTCTTATCAGAACCCAATCCATTGATCAAAGTACAAAATATATGGGGAGTGGGCCTCAAATTTTTGGCTTCCAACTCATGATAGAACTCAATAGCTGCCTCATATTTCCTAGCCCTGGAATATGCACTGATGATAATGCCATAGGTAACAACATCAGGCTCAAAACCTTCATCCTTCATCTCCCGATAGACCTCATTGACCCTCAGCAGATTTTGTTGTTGACCCCACCCTTCTAGCAATATTGTGTAGGATTTGACATCAGGTGCGAACCTTCTTTTCTTCATTTTGTCAAACAACTCTTGAGCTTTCTCAATACACCTTGACTTGCTCAAAATGTCAATCAATCTATTAAAATCTGAAACTTCCAGCTTCATCCCAAACAGCTCCATCTTCTCAAACGTCTCCACTGCTTCTTTGACCTTTCTAGCTCTTGCATATCTCCGAGCAACCAAGGCAAAAGTGTCTTTAGTCAACAACTTTCTATGTTTCATGTCATCAACCAAATTCCATACCATCTTGAACTGTTTAATCTTACCCAATGCCTCAATCAAAGCATTGTAGCTCTCTGTACTGTATTTGAACCCCTTTTGCATCTCAGCCCAACGGAAGAACAACAGTGCAAGAATACCAGCATTACTTAACTTCTTTAAGACCTCAACGACCAGTTCTGGTGACATCTCCACTGAAATATTACTGAGAGACTCCTCAACACTCGAACTAGGACTGTTTGATAAGATTTTACAAATTGTTTCAGCTGTGAGACCTTTAACATTGCTTGGGTTCATGTCTTTGGCTTCAGTAAATGCTTCTGCTTGCATTATGCTATCACTAACAAATGTGCGGTAGCCCAAAGAAGGATGATTTCTTTCAGATCCAAATTGGTTGGGGGGTTTCAAAAAGTAATTAAAAATAGAACTTCCTACAGTAACTAGGGAATTAGGAACTGATGTAATAGAACCAGAGTGAGGACTAGATGCGGGAAAAATATTTGGAGAGAGGAAGAAATTGGGAAGGCTGAATCTTCTAGATACTCGTGTTAGCTGGATGATGCCCATTTCAGAGGAGTTGCAGATGGACACACTTGCAACAAAGTTCAAGTTATGCAACAATCTTGCAAATCAAAGCTCCTGCAGATGTAGAGACCAGATTAATTTGACTTAACAAACAGAAGTGAGCAAAATAATGTGAAATCCATCCATATGCTTCCATTTCTGCATTCCCAATAGACTTATACACAATTAAGCCACTACTGTCATTTAAATGTAGTAAAAAGCATCAAGTACTAGCTGACATATCATATATAGCAACACTGAGATCGAAACAGAAGACAATAGTGCAAAATAAATTATTGATGATAGAATAGTAATGGCAATAATAGGTTAGAAGCAGAAAAGATGTGAACAATGGGCCTGTCTTTTTACTCTCAAGAACTATTAGGAAAGAGGGCACTATCTGAAGGCATTCTTCTGGGTAATTCATTTTGGGGGGGAAAACAAAAGGCAGGATAGGTATTTTGGAAACAAAAAGTATAAAACAAGTCTCAGGGATTTTGCATCTTTCATTCCCAAAAATAGGACCAAGAGGTAGAGAACCTTATTTTCATAACTAATACTTGTAAATTTTACCAAACATACTGGGGTAGAACAGTGAGACAGAAGATACAAGAAGGCTCCAACTCAACTACTTCCTCCTCATTTCCCAGGTTCGTTTTCAGGGTCCTGCTGAAATGTTAATGTTGCCTACCCAAGAGTTGCGAATGTGAAATATACATTGGAAAGTTATGCCATCAAAATTCACTATTGCCAATGGAGTATCCAAAAGTTCAATTATTACAACACGAACAAAAATTGGATTGTCGCGTAATAAGCAGGACGCACGGCATCTACGTACTCCCCTCCCCCAAGTCGGGGATGTGGAAGAGCGTGATCATAGTTTGACAATTCTAAAACCCAGAGAAATACACTAACACAGTGGCATTGGGGTTGATACGGCTTGGTACTTCCCGGGGGAAAAAGGAACAGAGAACTGAAACTGAGAAACAATGGAGTTCACCTGCAACGCCGAAGCAGTGATCAGCAATTAAAGCACATCACTGAAGTCGCCGGTCAGCCTATCTTCGCCGAAGCGTAGAGAAGAGAAGCCCAGCACCCGCGTGGAGGATACTGGCGAGGGAAATGCCGAAATGGTTGGGGTTGGGGTTGGGGTTATTTCGGCAAGGCGCGCGTGCATCTATATTTATTTTTAATTTAAAATTGATTTAAAATTAAAAAATGTTGCGGATCCCTTGTGTATGAACCATTCATATTTTACACTCCGTCTTTACTTTTTAATTTGATGATGATGATATTAAACATTGATATTGATAATTTAAAAGTTTTAAAGACACTCCTATTCCTTCCCAAAAAATAAATGAGATTAAAAACTTATTTCAATAACATTAAGAGTACATTCAAATTATATTTAGGATATGCTTTTGTCAAATTCAACAAATAATTAAATTTTTTAAATATATTTTTATAAATATAAACTGAAATTTAAACAGACATTAAATTTTTGTTTTTTATCTTATCCCATATCAAAAATTATTCTATCCCATTTGTTATTAAAACGAGGCTAGAATGTTTTGACAAAGCAAACAAAATATGAAAACAGACTTAAATAACAATATTTATTAAATAACATAATTTGTTAAGTTCAAAACAAAAAATAATAAAAATACATCATTCAATTATTGACATACAATAATTAAAATTTAAAGTAAACTAATATAATCACAATTTAAATTTAAGTATGCAACAATTACAAATAAACTCATGCTATAAGTACAATAATAATAAAAAATTAATTAAATTACACAACTTAAATAGACTAATCGAGCACATTAAGAAAATATTTGAAAATAGTATATATTGATAAAAAAGTATATATGTATATTATTAACCAAATATATACACACACTAAATAAATAAATCATTACATATTAATAATAATAATAATATTAATAATTATGTATATTATATTTAGACAGGATGTCTTGAAAGTAATATCAAGTCTTATCTTATCCTGTGTTGTAAAATCTAATCTCTTTTTTTTTTTCACGTGAAAATAGACTTGTCCCAAAATGATGGAACAAAGCCAATATCCCTCGGATGGAGACAAGCCCCTAGCTGAGAATATAATCTGAGCTAAACTTTTATAAAATTAAATTGAACATTAATTATGATCCTCTTATTCTCTTTGACTTAAGTCAATAGAATTCTTTTTCACATTTTGTAGTACGACTCTCCTTCATCTTGTAATTTGTAAAGAAGTCAATTTTTGAAGCGTCTGAGTTTCATTGAAAAAAAAAAAAAGAAGAATATAGAGAGAATAACAATGAAGTCCTAAAAGAATTAATTAGTTTAAATTAAATTTCAACTAATTTTAAATTTGTCACAAAGTCTATTGGTCTTTTAGTGATAAAATATCAAGTTTAATAACTCTAAAAATTTATAAATTCAACTCTCAATTTTATAATTTTATTGTAATAAATTTGTAAATTGCTTTTCAAATTTTAACATATTGAAGGATAAACAATATTTGTTAAACTTTTATTTTTCAACATTAAATATGAACATATGTGTTTTTTGTTAAAATTTAAAAAAGAAATTTCAAATATATCACAACAAACTTGTAAAATTAGCAATCAAACTTACAAATATCTAAAGTTGTTAGATTTAATATTTTTAATATTAAAGATGAATCTTTGTGTTCTATGATAAAATTTAAAAAATAAGTTATAAATATATCATAATAAAATTACAAATTTGGGAGCCAAACTTGTAAGTTTTTAAAATTGTTAAACTTAATATTTTATATCAAAAGACTTCATTGATATTTTAAAATTAATTGGAACTTACTTAAATTAATTGATTTCATTGAGATTTACCTAATATGTGCAAAGAAAGGCAAAAAAACCATGGGCAAACTTCTCTTTTCTTCTTCTTCCTTTTCCTTTTCCTTCTTCTTCTTCTTTTTCTTCCTTTCTTTCTTCTTCTCCTTCTTCTTCTTTTTGACCTTTTGCTCCTTTTAAGGACAGAAGAAATCAAGGACACCATCATTCCTAATACTACCAATAATTTAAAACCAGATTCAATTGAATAATTAGACCAATTGAACTATTAATAGAGCCATTAATGGTTCAATTTGAACTAAAATAACTATTTTTATGATTGAGTCAAATTGAACTGATGTTGAGTTGTTATTAAATAAAAAGCTAAAGTTAAATTAGGAATCAGAACAGTTTTTAAAAAATCGAATGGTTTTAAACATAATATTAAAATTTAAAAAAATCAAAATCCTATTAAAAACTAACTTTATTTTTAAATAATTCACATGCATGAAATATAATTTGAGATCATTTTCTCATAAAGATGTTGCCAATTATAGGTAGAGTGGTAATAAGCCAAGCCCCTATCAAGACCTACACATTGGTATACTTCAGGTCTAACCTAGCTTATTTAGTAATAGGCTTAGGTCAGGTTCAAACTTTTATTTAAGCCTATTTAATTAGTTAAATAAGTCAAGCCTAGTCTTTAAAGGCCTAACCTATAAGCCCAATAAGCTAGTTTATTTACACACATTATGTATTATATCACACATACATCATTTTTACAATTTAATTTTTAGTCAATCTTTTTTTAGTTATGTTTTCAATTAAATTAGACTTATATATTAATTTTAACTTTAATATTATTACTTTATTATTGTATTATATTATAGTTAGTAAGTCTTTTTAATCATTATATAATGTAATTGATAATCATGTTCTATATTTATGCTAATAGTCCTAAGGTATATTTAAAATATTTAAAATTAAAATGCAAGCTTATTTAAAAAACTTTACTTTTAAATAGGCTTTAAGGTTAAGTTAGACTTTAAGTAGGCTTACGTTTGAAGTGTGAAAAAAAAAACTATATACAAACTTCAGGTTAAGCTTAGGCCTCTAACTTATTATACAAACGCAGGCCTATTTGATCAAAGTTTAACTGAGCTTAGCCTATTTTTATCTCTAATTATTGGTGGAAATACAAATATTTTTAAATTTATTGTATACCTAATTTAACCAAAATCTGTATATATATTTAATAAGTTAAAAAATTATAATTTATAATATTATCAATTTACAATCATATTATATTATTTAATAATATATTAAAAAATTATATTTTTTTTATATATTTAATATTATTTTTATATAATTATTATATTACTGATTTAGCCGATTAAACTATAAAAATTGGAGGCTGCTCTACCCCGTGTCCAATGTTAAAATTGATGATACCAACCAACAGGTGAATGATCAAACCAAAAAATATGTAAATGATCTAATTGTACATTTTACGACACTCAAATGCCACTTTTACCCATATAATATCTTATCTGGTAACAGACACGCGTCAATTTCTGGCAGCTTAGCTAGATGCCCCATGGAAAAGACGAACAAGTACCGGACTCCGGCAAAACGATGTCGTTTCCGTCCATCTCATGATTCTTGCTTTCTCCGTTTTCGCCGCAGTTTCAGTTAGCAGCAAGCAGCTTCAGCGGAGAACGTAGCTCGCTGCAAAGCGAAAGAGCAAGAGACGAAATTAGCGGAAAAAGATAATGGTGGCTTTTGGCGGGAAAAAGCTGCGCCAAGTGGTTGCAGGCTTCGGTGGTAACGGTCTCAGCCAGGTCCTCGCTGCTGTGGCAGTGACGTCCTTCTTCGGCTCTTCTCTGTCCCGGACCCGTACTCCCCCCGGAAACCGAGAATGGGGACTGCGGCGATGGGGAGGGGAAGGATGATGTTGACGAAGGTGAAGCTGAAGGTCCGGCTTCCGGTAACAACATCACCTGCTCTCTTTCTGATAAATCCTTCACGTCTGTGAGTTTCCGTCTTCTTACTCCGTTACGTTTCGTGAATGCTATAGTCCCGTGACGTTTCGTGAATGCTATAGTCCTGTTTGGTTGTTATGCTATGAAATTGGGATATTGATTTCGGATATTACGTTTTCTTTAATGAAGAAGACAGTTTGTACATACTTCTAGTGAATTTATTTATTGCTTTTTGGAGTTTTGATCATTGCTTATTTCGGGTGATAATGATAATGGTAATTTTAATTTTAAATTGATAGGTGAGATTTTTGCTCGAAAATGTGAGCGGAGAAGCAAAGCCTGGAAGATTATTGGCTATAATGGGGCCGTCAGGTTCTGGAAAAACTACATTGCTCAATGTTCTTGCGGGTCAGCTGGCAGCAAATCCCCGGCTGCATCTATCAGGCCTTTTAGAGTTCAATGGGAAGCCTATTTCAAAGAAAGCTTATAAGTAGGCTTCTTAGCAACTTCTGTTCCATGCACTTTTCTTTGGATTCCTATTTAACTAAGGACGAGAGCTAGCATGTTTTTTGTGGGTGTAGGTTTGCTTATGTGAGACAGGAGGATCTGTTTTTCTCACAGCTCACAGTGCGAGAGACATTGTCCCTTGCTACAGAACTCCAGCTGCCTGGGATATCTTCCGTGGAAGAGAGAGATGAACATGTGAAAAACCTCTTGTTCAAACTAGGATTGGTAAGATGCCCTCTTATGTTGTAATTTTTGCTGAGAAAGTGATCGCTGATTGTTGATTAGGATGCTTGCAATGGGATGAAAGAACCATTGTTCTTTCCTTGAAAAAAAGAATTTGAATACATTTCTGCTTGTCTCCAAGTCTCCAACGTTTAGTTTTTATTTTTCTGTTTGCAGACGCATGCTTTCCCAAACTACCATAGGAAGTTACATGCATATCATATATTTAAATACTTCTACTCTACTCCTATGGTACTCATATTTACTTACTTTGGCAACTTGAATCACTTCTTCTGAAGGTCAGCTGTGCTGACAACACATTGTCGGTGATGCAAAAGTTCGGGGAATTAGTGGTGGTGAGAAGAAACGCTTATCTTTGGCATGCGAGCTTCTTGCAAGCCCATCTGTCATATTTGCTGATGAACCAACTACTGGTAAGTATGCCTTTCCATAATTTTCCTAGCAACAAATCTGAGTTCTGCATATAATATAGCTTAGTTCATGGCTAGTATAATACCCCGCAGGCACTGCTCATATTAAGATACAGTAACATCATCTACACGGGCATTGCTTCCTTGCTGCTTTTGATTAATGTTTAACTTTATAATCTAAAGCTTTTGTATTTTCTGCATATTCGTGTAATATGACTAAATGGCTTTTTTCCACCCTCATAGATATTGACAAAAGGTGCTTCCAGGACTGGATGCCTTTCAGGCTGAGAAAGTGGTGGAAACTCTCCAACAACTTGCACAAGATGGTCATACAGTAATTTGCTCTATACATCAGCCAAGAGGTTCGGTGTATAATAAATTCGACGACATTGTCTTGCTAACTGAGGGTTCACTTGTTTATGCTGGTCCTGCTCGTGATGAACCATTGGCATACTTCTCAAAATTTGGGTTGTCATTCTAACCTTCTGTGTCTTATTCCGTCATACATTCTTCTTGTGGGGATGTCACTTGAAAAAAAATATGATAATAACTTATGCATGGGGTGACTTGTTTAACTTGTCAGGAATTTAAATTCAACACTTCACTGTATAGAGTATAGAGTTTTGCTTTGAAACAGATGATAATAGTGAGATAATCGACCTTTCTAGTTTGACTTCTTAAATTTGTACTAATCCTCCTAGTGAATTATTAAAATTATTATGACTCAGGTAACAAAGCAGGGTGAGAAAAATGAAGTTTTTTTGTCAAGATTGATGGAAGTTACCCCCTACACAGGGGGGGGGGGGCATTCATAAATTTTTATATGTTGGCTTTGAGTTAAAAATATTTTGCAATAGCATGGATATTTGTTTTTCATTGTTATTATTGAAGTTATACAAACCATGCTTGCAAAAAAAAAAAAAAAAAAAGTCAAAATGTTGTCTCTTTGAAGACACGCTCCCCTGAACTTGTTCAATATATATATATATATATTTTATATTTTGTTAGTGCATTATTAATCTGTTCAACTGAATGTTATTAGCTATAGATCTTGTATAGTTTGTTCTGAACAGTTGGTTGATTATTGTTGATATAACAGGTACCATTGCCCTGATCATGTGAATCCTGCTGAATTTTGGCTGATGTTATATCCATTGACTACAGTTTCTGCTGAAAGAAATTCTTTTATTCCTCTCAAAAGAGAATTAATGGTCTTGTTGAGTCATTCTCTGAAAGACTTTCTACAATAATATACGCATCCCCAATTACCAAAGAAGTGCTTAACAAAGGAAAGAGAATTGGGATGAGGATGAGAACTGTAGCTAAGAAGAAAAGAGGTTGGTGGAAACAATTCTGGTTGCTCCTCAGGCGAGCATGGATGCAGGTCTGCCTATATATTGATTTTCTGTATAAAGTGCATGATAGGACCTGGATAACATTCTTTATGCCTTGAAATAAAATAATAATGACCCTTTCTCATGTCATTTGGCAAGATATGATTAGAAAGATGCGTAAATTTCAATTCTCCTTTTCACATCTTGTCCTATGACAAATTTGCTTCTTTTCCTTCCTTACATTTGGTTTCAACATTGGTTATTTTCTTCAATTCTTCATCCCTAATTTTAACCTGGCTATGAAGCAAAATTTTAGAGATGCATGTAATTAATCCAGTTCTTTCTCATGTAAGGAGGGTGGAACTTATGTTTCTTATTTTCTTTCATTGATTATTCTAACGGTTGACTAGGCTTCCCGTGATGGACCAACAAACAAAGTTCGAGCAAGGATGTCAATCGCATCAGCAGTTATTTTTGGTTCAGTTTTCTGGAGAATGGGAAGATCTCAGACTTCAATACAAGACAGAATGGGATTGCTTCAGGTTTTTTTTATGTTTTTCATTCTTTCATTCCTATTTCCTGATTGACTGGCTGCTAATCTACATGGCAGAGGAACTTCAAATTTCTCTATGCACTTTTGGCTATTAGTCTACATGATTCCATTAGGTCCATGTCTAAAAATTTTGGTGGGACTTTTACTAACTTACCTGAGAGTCTGGCAATTATGAGTACAAGCTATTAAATTGAATAGGCACAAATTGTTATCCATAATTTTGATAGTCATTTTGATCTACAGTTCCTCTGGAATCTGTATTAGGCTTGCCTTTCTGTACTCCTTATATAATTGGCATTCACAGGTTGCTGCAATAAACACAGCTATGGCTGCTCTTACGAAGACTGTTGGGGTGTTTCCAAAGGAGCGTGCAATTGTAGACAGAGAACGTGCAAAAGGCTCCTATTCATTGGGTCCTTATCTGTTTTCAAAATTGCTGGCTGAGATTCCTATCGGAGCAGCTTTTCCACTGATGTTTGGTGCTGTTTTGTACCCTATGGCACGTCTTCATCCTACTTTACTAGGGTCAGTTCCCAAGTTAATCATTATGATCAAGAATTGCAATTTCTTTCACTTTTTCTATGAATTTTATGACTGTAGATTGCGAGCTTCTTTGCCCCTGATGACATGAGAAAACTGAGCACTAAGCATGATAAAAATTTCTATAGCAGTCTCTGGGCAGGATTGTCAAGATAACTTGGTTTCCTTTACGGGGGAGCTGTAATGAATTTTAGAGGGGATAAATGACTTTGCTGAAATCACTAGAAATAGGCCTTGTGTGCGTTGCATAGAGTTTGAAATGAGTTGCATTGTTTTATGATTTGGTCACAATTTGTATGATTTTTGTTTAATCCAACTTCATCTCATGATTTAAATGTCAATAATATACTTTTCGTATCTTTTGAAAGCCATAAACAAATATATCCTTACACCCCACAAACACGTCTTCTCCCCTGATCCCCACCTCTATTTACCCTTCAGATGGGGATCATTTGTGTGATTTTTTTTTTTTTTTGGGGTTTATATCTCAAGTATTACTGACTAAGCTTGACCTTCTAGATTTGGGAAATTCTGTGGTATAGTCACAGTGGAATCTTTTGCTGCATCTGCGATGGGTCTTACTGTAGGAGCGATGGTTCCAACCACTGAAGCAGCCATGGCAGTTGGCCCGTCTCTTATGACTGTTTTTATTGTATTTGGAGGCTATTATGTCAATCCTGAAAATACTCCAATCATCTTCCGCTGGATTCCTCGCGTTTCTCTCATTAGATGGTACGCAGAATCCCATTTTTAATTAATTAAAGTTTTCCAATAATGTAACCAGCACTAGGAAACTCTCTGTCATGCTAAAAATTCTCCAAGATGAATACGGTTTCCTTTACTTCGGCACTGATGAAATGGGCTTGTGTATTCTTTCAGGGCATTTCAGGGATTGTGCATCAATGAATTTAGAGGTCTTCAATTTGAACATCAGAATCCATTTGATGTTCAAACTGGAGAACAGGTGAGGGAAGAGCCATGATTTTTTTTTTTTTTTTAAGGAAAGAAATCTAAGGGCTAATTCAATACAACTGTTTAAAAGTGGATGGTTTCTGCAAATATAACGCCCTAAACTATATCTTATTGTAAGCTATCATCAACACTGATACTACCCAATAGAATTATTTTTTGCCATGAAGCACCAGTACTTCTAACGCTGTATCATGTTTGATAGGTTTTGGTTAGACACTAATTTGAATTTAAACACTAGTATATGTCTTGTGCTGTTGTAGTCATGTATCCATATTTTATCCGTGTCAATCATCTTAGATTATCTAGTTTCCGCATAGTGTAAAAACGTTACTAATAAAGAATGTTACTATGTTAGTTTGCTGTCTAGCTTTCCTGATCTTAATTCCGTTATTCGCAGGCACTGGAGCGCATATCTTTTGGAGGAAGCAAAATTAGGGATACAGTGGTAGCACAAAGTAAGGTACTGCTATTTTGGTACTGCACCACCTACCTTCTCCTTGAGAAGAACAAGCCAAAGTACCAGCAACTTCAGCCACCTGCACTTGACAACAACAAATCGCATTCAAAACTCGAGGAGCTTAATCCTGAGCAAGATGAGCAGCCACTTGAATCCGAACCAGTGAGTCATATTGATTCAAATCAAGTTGACCCTGTTGGACCTTTCATCCTAGAAGGTTTGTGATCAGTTAGGTTGCTGGGGAATAACGAATGTTCTTATCAGATGTGCGACTCAACTATTGTATATTGATTTATCTCGTACAGGTGCTGAGTAGAGAGAGAGATCTTTGCAAAGGGTGACCTTCTCAGTCCTGAATTTACAAAGCCAATAAGCTGTTCTTTCCTTATAGGACAGGGCAGACGATCATGATGTGACTAGGTACACCCATCGTAGCTTAGAAATGTCATACTTGTTATAATAATAGCGTATAGAGGACCTTCTTGGGAGTTTGAATGTAGCAGCAGCCAGCAAGTATTCGTAGGTGTAAAACTTAGCAATTTGTTGCCATGCTGCTGTTTCATCAACTTTGAACAAATCTGGATGGTTCAGATTTTCTTTATGTTTTTGTTTTTTTGCATTTAAATTTGTGGAAAATTTGCTTCTTTGATTCTTTAATTTTACGTAAGGTATGATTTTGATCTTTTTATGTTATAAGATGTCTTTTCACTTCAATTTTCTAATCTTAATACCGTAAAAAAAAAAAAATTGCTGTTACTATACTTCTAAATGTTACTAAACATTCAATGTTGACATATTAAATGTGATTATGTGATTTTAAAATAATGATGATTGACATAAAAAATTATTATTTAAAATTGACAGTATTTGCATTCAAAAAATGAAAAATATTTTATAAAATTAAAAAATTAAATTAAAATTTTATATGAAGTTAGTAGATTAAATATGTATTTTGGCTTAAATTTTTTAACTTTAAAAGTGATATATTTAATATCTTTCAAAATAGCAATCAATAAAAAAGGTGAAAAATATGTTAGTTAATATATTTATAGCATTAGGGGATGTTTTGGTGGATTTGGCTTTACTTTTCTTGAAGCAGCGTCCGCTGAGGCCCCTACCAAATCTAGACTGTCCCGAGGTTTTTTAAAAAACTATATTATAATTTTTAAAAAAATTTTGTTACCAATCTAGACAACCTAAAGTTTAATATTAATGGTTTAAATTTAATATTTAATTTTTTTATAAATTAATTATTCAAATAGATATGCTCTAAACAGTAAAAATTTAATATGAATAGTTTAAATTTAATATTAAAAATTTTTATAAATTGATTATTCACATATTCTTTGAATAGTGCAAATATCTATTGAAAAGCTTTTGTAAAAAAATATTTAAAAAATTACAAGTTAAATACTCATCTCGTTAAAAAATGTAAGGTATTTTTAACTAAATTTTATCTTTCAATAAAATAGTTACATACTTTTCAACTAACTTTATCTTTCTATATTTATCCCTATTAAACACCCTATAATAAATATAAATTTATTATTAATAGGGATATTTTTTTAAAAAAGGCAATAATTACACTTCGAAAGATTAAAAATGTCTTACATTTTTGAACATCTAACTCCTCAAAAAATACCTTACATTTTTGAACGGAAGGAGTATTTTATATTAAACCGTAAATTTAAACAATTAACATATAAAAATTATAAAAAAATAAATATTAAATTTAAATTATTAATATTAAATTTAAACTGTCTAGATTGATAACAAAATTTTTTAAAAATTTTATCATTTTTATAATTTTTTATTTTAATAAAAATAAAAAATAAAATATTAAATATGAATTGTTCGTATTAATCTAGACAGTTTAAATTTGACAGGGACTTCAGCAGACGTCATCCTCGGAGGACCGAAGCCAAGTCCTCTTTTTGTGAGGGTGGGAAGGATAATGACCACAGTTGGCCAAAAAAAGGAATGGATAATGACCACCGCCACAGCGCTCCAACGGCATGGTCGGTTGCGGGATTCCCGCAAACTCGTTTTAACATTACGTGGAATCAGAGCATTATTTGTACTCTAAGCTAAATATAGAATAGATGTTATATGTCTGTCCAATAATCATTTGATTTAGCTGGCCAAAAAAACAAAAAATCATTAGCCTTAGACTAGATAGTAGCTATCGCTTTAAATAATTGGTTTCTTATGAATGAAAATTTTTTATTTTCTAAATTATTTGAATGACAAGAAATCAAGAACTTATTTAGAAGGAATATTTTTCCCGTCTCATATTGGAAAAAAAATCTAAGCTGTATATAAAAGAAATCAAACAGGACGAAATAAATTGTTAATTAACTATGAGTTAATTGACATGAAAATACCCTTCCCCATCTATGACCACTTGATTCAATTAATTAAAAGAGTTGAATTAACTTATCTTATATTAATAATAATAATCACATTAAAGCATTATTTAGAGAGAACAACTCTTTAAATAGTGCTCAAATTTTTTAAGAGATTAATCTTATAATTGTCTGTTGTGAGAATATCATGAATAATAAAAAAAAATAATCTCAAATTTGGATTAATTTTGGTTTGGGTGGACAGCGGTAATACATGTGTCTCTGTAGGGTTCTATACAACGCAACTGTTATATACATATACACTTCTTCCAGCTCCTGTTCAAAATATAAACAATTTTTTAAAAAAAAGAAAACTAGTAAATTTTTATTCTCATAAAAATATATATTATTTTTTAATTTATTTATCAATACACTTTATGATGAATGAAAAATAAATTTATACAAAAATTTAAATTAATAAAAATAAGGGATAAAATGAAAAAATTATATGTATACATATATTAAATTTTTGATATTTTAAATTAAAATTAATAAAAAAATATTGTTTGTATTTTAAAGTAAAGTACTGACAATTAACAATAATAATGGAGGCCGTGTTGCGTTTGTTTTGTTGGGTTGACGTGGAAGAAGGAAAAATAATGATTGGTGAGTTGGCTTGGGAGGTGCCGCCATATTACGTGGATCTTGGAAAGCACATGCTTCATGCAATTTTGAAGCTTCGCTGGTTGAACTGATTGTTGAAAATTTCTGGCTGACTGTATCCAAAATTCTTAGAAACTTGCAAGGCGGCTCCATTTACGTGTTTTCCTTGTTTTATATTTTATATATTACCACTAAAAGATTACCCCCCAAATGTAACGTCATGGAAATTAAAATACCTTTGAAGGTTCATGCGTTTTTTTTATAAAATAAATACAATGACAAAAATTAACCATTTAATCCCTATTTTATATGCATGTTTGTGGTCTCTATTCAAATATTTGTCATGTAAAATCAAGCAACTTATTATGAAATTAGACATGCATTTGAATGAAGCAAATAAATGTGTCAATTAATTTGTGCATCAAACTCCTAATAATAATGTAAATGTCAAGATTTTTATGTTTTGCATCCAAGATGCAGAAACTTTTCTTATACTTTGATATGACATAATTTGTCTTTTCCCTATATGATTTTTTTTTTTTTCACGGCCTTGCACTAAAAGAAATTTGAAATACAAGATTATAGACAATTTACAAAGTTATTATTACTTAATTTTAAAAAACAATACAGTCAATGCCATAAATAAAAGCTAACTTTGATTGTTAATGGATTAAAAAATTATATAAAAAATTAAAAATTACAAAAAAAAAATACTAAAAAATTATACAAAAAGAATCAAAAATTATAGGTAATGACTTAAAAAATTATAGAAAATGACAAGCAAATTCTTTTGGCACTTTTATGTAATTTTTAAGCTCATTCTCAATAATTTTTCAGTCTAACTAACCATCAAAATTAACATTATTAACGGTATGGACTACATTATTATATCATGTTGAAATATTAAAAGTGAACATTACAGCAAAAAAAAATGTTTAGAATCTTATTAGGCGCTTCTAAACCTTAGTTTAATGGTGAATTTTGCCATTTAACCTAAGAAAAATGATTATTTGACTTATGATTATTATTTTTAGAGTAAAATTGTACAAAAATAATTAGTATTCATAGAAATCCTAAAGAGACGTTTATTTTTAAAAAATCGAACAAAAAGTAGTTCACGGGGGAAAAGCAAACTTCAAAGTGAATATTATATTTTGAATAGACATTGATGAAGAATTTAGTTATTTATCCTCAGAGAATGGGAAATTTAAATTGTCTGACTTATTTGAATGACACGAATATAATTGACTCAAAATGAATGTTCCTTATCCAATTTAATAAAGAAACCTAGCTAAGCTGTTGAATAATTTCAACTATTAATAATTAGAAGCAAATGGTTAATTAATTATAACCTAGAAATTAATTGACATGAAGAACTGCTTCCCCAACTCCACCAAATGAAACACAGAGAGAGACATTGAAAGAGAAACACTCAAAAAAGCCAAAACCAAAATCCCAAGAGCCAAACAAGGCCTTGTTTCTATCAACAGAGTCTGCAACAACCCCACAGCTTCACAAATATCAGAACCATAATTCTCTTCCCAGTACCTTCTCTCCCACTCCACAATCCTCCAACCTCCTCCACTTCTCTTCTCTTCCTTCTCTCTCTGCTTCTTCTCCATCTCAATCTCTCGAATTCGCATTCGAAGAACGATCATGCTTTCGTCCACCAGCTTCCCATTGTAATGGTGGCCGTAATTGGAATCTTTCTTTGATGCAGACGTACTGAAAAAGCTTCTTCGAGTGACAATCACATTATTATTGCTGGTAGTGGTGATGAAGTACTTGCTTGGAGCAACAAATGGCAGTCTTGTAGGACCTAGAGGAAGAAGAGAAACAGAAGAAGATGATGATGCCATATTTTTCAACACGAGAAACCTGAAACCCTAATTTATGAAAGAAAAGGAGTGCTGCTTGGGATTTTATAGACACAGAAATATTTACAAGTCAGTAAGTTCGGCTGATCTTATTAGATGCTATGCATTGCATGGTGCCAACAATAACAAGAAGTCGTTGTCTTATTAAGTGGGATCCGTTATATCAATTAAATAATGTTATTATGCATTTTTGAATTTTATCCTTGTTGTAATAATTTATGACCATGTAATGCGTATATTTCTCTTTCTAATTTTAATGGAGGTGAAGTTAGAAATTTTTTTTTCCAACTTAAGACTTATTCAATAAGTTAACTAATATTAATTCATTTATTCCAGTAAAATTTGGAAATTAAATGACAATGAGGGACGTGTTTGTTCGGTGACGCGTAGGAACATGAAAGCATGGGGGTGGCGTCAAAATTACTTGGAATTTGGAAAGCATATGATTAACACAAATCGTACACTCAATCTGAAGCTTTGGAGATTGAACTAAGCTGACGAATATGTTGAAATTTTCTGGCTATGTGCAAAGTTCTAAGAAACTTGATATAGGAGGCTCCATATTATATAATATCTATCCTATATTACCAAAATATGATCCCTTTTCAATGTAATGTAACGGATATATATTCATGCATACTTTAAGGTTCATATGTATTTTAGAAAAGGCAGAGTAAATTATGGATTTTCAATATATATATATATTGTGAGAAAATAGTAAAAAAAAACTAATCGAGGTTAGTACAATCTATACAGTGATGTAGTAGTTCATGAATGGTTATTTTGAATTCTCAAACCAATCATCATATAAAGTTATCTTTGGTGGATAATCCATAAATTGTATTGTTTATGAGTTTCAATATTTTAGCCTAATTACTAAAAAAATTCATTATATGCTACTTCTTTTAAAATACTTTAGAAAAATTAATCATTTGATTCTTATAGTTTTGACCTAATTGTAACTAAATCCATTAACTTTAACTTGTTATAACTCAAGTTTCTGAAGTTTTAACTCAGTTGTAAATCAATACCTGAACTTTACCTCTTGAAATTTAGTTTTTAAGTGTCAATCCTCTTAAATATTGATCGCTATATTTTAAAAAATAAAATTATAAATATTAAAATATAAGGACCAATATTTAAGAGGTTAAAACTTTAGGAATCAAATTGTAACAAGTAAAATTTATAGACTAATTTACAATTGAGTCAAAATTTCAGGAACTGAGTGATAACAAGTTAAAATTTAAGGACCGAGTTACAATTAAATGAAAATTAAAAAAATAAATGATTAATTTCCTCTAGTTTTTCATTTAGCTAAATTTCAATCTCACCGAAAATCCCTTGAAGAGCATCATATTTCTTTTAGTAAAAATTCACTGCAAGACTTAGGCATCTAATTTTTAAAAAATAAATAATATTTTAGTAATTGAACAGTAAATTTTACTTTAATTTCCTAGATTCTACGATAAAATTTCATATTTCTTTGGATACATGCATCATGCAATTATGCTGTTTAGAGACTACTCTTCAGTGAGATTCTGCCCCCAACAAAACCGTTAAATATTTTATATGAAGAAATAAAAATAGAGTATCAGTCAAACTAATAATTTAAAATTAAATATGGTAGTGTAAATATTTAAATGTGTGAATGGGTGAGATGAAGAGGATCTGATTAATATTAATAATTTAGTATTATAAATTAGCGCCGTCCTCTGTCAGGTAAGGCCTACCTTGTCGGCAACGCTTGCCCGCGCCTGACCGCCACTTCCTTCTGGGCAATGTTCTCGTCCTACGCAATCGACCCTGCCATTTTACAACCATCGCCGTTTCGACGTGGATAATTTCATGGTCTCTCTATATTTTGTGCCTTCTTTTATATCACTCTCATCATTTTAGCTTTAAGTGCATGGTTTACTTTTGCAAAAAAAAAAAAAAAATCTTTGTTTAATTCGTCTCCCTTATATTCTATAAAGAGACAAAAGAATGTCGGTAAAATTTATTTTTGTTTCAAATTAATCAAATTATAGTTTCTAAAATTAAAAGTATTCAGAGATCACCTGAACATTTTTAAATTAAAACACTTCAGAAAAATCCTATTTCACCTTTTTGATTACTTACCTGCGATATGATAATCACATGAAATAAAGACATAGTAAGAAAATTAAAAAATAAATTAAAAATAAATACGACAAATATATACATTATAATTACAATACTTTGCTAACATAATTATTCAATTGAGTCAGATTCAAATATTGTCAGATTCAATTAAGGGTGTATCTATCAAAAATATTTTTGACATTTATACTGACTCAAACTTTCAACTTTGTGTTTAAGCTTCATAATCTCTTCAATTAGAATAGATTATTGATATTATATAATTACAATATTAATATATTAGAGCATTGTGAATACTGGAGCCCTGTCAAGAGAAATTATGATTTAGAGTAATGTTCTGTTGGGAGAAATAATCACACTTAATATTTAACCGTACATTAAGTAAGATTATTTTTAACTAAAAATGCTTATAAGTAATTAAAAAGGAATAATGTTCGATTCATAAGAGCAATGATGAGTGGTAACAACATATAAAAATATTATATCATAGACATTTGGTTCCATGAATAGAAAAAGTTGAATTAATTTATGTTAAAGTTTTCACATAATAACAATCTTCCGTAGATTCATCCCGTGATATCGTGAACCTTGCCGCATGTAATTACTACTAGAGATTCTGGAAGCCACACGTCACTTTCTAGCGTTGACAAATGGCTTGTTCTCAGGCATCACGCAAAACAAACACGCTTTTGCCACATTGCTTGGCTTTTTCTCCAATATGCTTTAGCCTCTCACATGCCCTTATTTTTATTTTATTATTTTTATTTACTTTCTTCTCTAACAGACAACGGCCTCTTTCTCCCATACAAATCCTATAAATTTGTGTCATCCTCTTAACACAAATCTCATCCAATCCTTCTCATATAAACCCTACATATCCCGAAAATTTCAACAATTCTTAGAATTCGAAATCCTAATTCTTTGATCCAAAACTGAATTCTCATCAAAATGCAATCCATTTCCCTGAATTCTCCCTCATTTCTCTCGATTCTGGATTCGAATTCGAGGCCGACCCTGAATCGTCGGAGAACCAGCGTGCAGGCATGGAAGAGAGAGGCGGCAGATCAGAATTTTGGCGGGAGAATGGTGGACGAGAACATGATCGTTCTGAGGAAGAGAATCCACGAGATGAAGATGATTGAGAAGAACTACGAGCCGCCGGCGGATTGGATGGACTGGGAGAAGCGTTACTACACAATCTATGACTCCATGATTTGCGATGCACTCGGAGTGTTGCAGACACAGTTGATGAACACGAGGCCGAGCTTGGCCCTGGGCATGATTGCCTTGCTTGCGATGAGCGTGCCTACTTCATCGGCTTTTCTTTTGTACCATTTGGTGGAGCTGTGTAAGCTGATTTTGGGAGGGATTCATCTTTCTTAATTAGCTTTTGGTTAATCATTTAATCATTGGGCTTATGGAGAAAAGCTGTGTATAGAGTGAAAGAAATATCAATTTCAGTTTTTTTCTTTTATGGTTCATCTGATCTGGGGGTATTTTTTGGTTATACCCAGAATGGCAGAATCTATACAAGTTTGTGATATATACAGAGCATTCATTGTTGTGACTGATCAGCCAATTTCAACTTTCTTTAAGTTGTTCTTCTCTCTCTCTCTCTCTCTCTCTCTCTCTCTCTCTCTCTCTCTCGTGTGTGTCTTGCCTGAATCAACTGTGGATCACCGAACAATTGATCGTTCAAATTTTTTTCCCCACAAGTAACTGCTACAAGTCCATGTAATGAGCTGTGTTTTAAATCATTTGTCAAGCCGTGCTCGTATAATGTACTCTGTTTCTTTTGAATAGTTTCACTGTGATTGTGGATAAATCTGCTAGGCCATTGGATCTCTCGGTTTTTTCAAAGGAGAAGAAAGAAAAGGAGGACGCAGAATCTACTAGTCAAGTAGGTTTGACACTCATTAGTCTAAGAACATGCTCCCTCCAAAAGGGCAAAAATATAGGGTTGGAGTAGTTCTTCTTATGGTTTTTTTTTTTTTTTTCCAATTACACACCTCCTTCATTTATTATTTCTTTTAAAAAATTGTGTCATAACTTCAATTTTTTTTAAATATAAGATAAAAAATCTTTAAATCCAATCAGTCCAAATCTCATTAATGCTATATTTGGCAAAAGAAAAAAGTGAGGGAAAAACAGCATTTTGTTCTGCTTGGCTGTGGAAAGAAAAATGGAGAGAGAAGAAGAGTGGGAGAAAAATAATATATGGCATCCATATGTTTTTATCTTTAATTTTTTTTTTCCAGATATGGGGAGATTTTGAAGAGTATATTAAAAATATCATTTTTTTTTATTACTGCCTCTTACTTCTCTTTATTTTTATTATAATATTTGTAGTGTAGTTATATTTGATCATCAAATTTTATTAAACAAGCAATATATTTAATTTTTAGACTAATTAAACAAATACTAATTCTAAGTTTTTAAGTTAATTTTCAGTTAAGTACTTTATATTTGGTTGAAGTGCATATAAAAACAATCTTTTTTCCTTCTAGTTTTATCTCGCTCAACCTAGTGTAATGGGAGAAAAGTGTATCCTTCCTATTTTCTTTTTCTTTCATTTTCTTTTTTTTTATTTTCTCTGCAAGCCAAGCACATCATAAGGTTAAAGAGTAGAGCAAAGACGGTCCAAATTTAATATTAAGTTTTTTAATAATTTTTATAATTTTTATTTTTTTGTAAATATAATTTTAAAAATACCTAGAAATTCATTTTAGGAATCATTTTATTTTAAATAAAAAAAATAACAGGTCCAGATTAATTTGCCCTCAATTAGTGATGCTCATCAAGGGAATGAGCACCGAATGCAGACTCATATATCTGTGTGTGTGTGTGATAAATCCAGTTTTTTTATAGTGTAATGAATACCAAAGAGATATGGGCCTGTTTAGTCACTTTCATTGGGCCTCTTTTATCACTATCTATCAATAATGAAGAATGAACAAATTTGATCTTCTCAAACTTAAAAAAAAAAAAACAAAGAGGCATTGGCCTGTTTGACAATTTATTTTGGGTAATATGGCCTGTTTGATAATTGATATTGTGTTGTTATTGCCCTCATTTTAGTTATTAATAAATTTTTTTAATAATTAAATTTTTTGTGTGGGACTTCAATACAATTCTCCCTTAAAAATTGTAAAACATTTTGAGTTTTTTAATATATAATTTATGATTTTTTTTTTCAAAAATACTCTTAATTAGAGATGTAATTAATAAAACTTTTAATTCATTTATAATTAATGAGGTAAACATGAAAATATTGTGTAATTTTAAAGATAATTAATTAATTAATTAAGAGGTTTAATTTGGTTAAAGGTGTTCTATAATACTGAATGAAGGGTTGAAAATAGATTTTTGCTTTGAAAAACAAAAAAATTAAAAATATATTTGGAAATATGTTTTTTGTTATTTGTTCCAAAACAAAAAAAATTTAAAAAATAAGAACATCTTTGTTATATTTTGTTAGTTTCTATTCTATAAAATTAGAAAAAAAACAAAAAATATCATATTTTCATTAATAATAATTATATTAATAAATTAAATTATGTTTCTGCTTTCATTTCATGATGTAAGATATATTTTTCAGGATAATGATTCAAACAAATTTTTTAATTTGTTTTCAAAACTTATTCTAAAAAATTGTGCTACAAAATTATTTTTAAAATATTTTTTTATATTAAGACAAAAGATAGATAACTGAAATGTGCAGGAAAAGGCTACCAAGCTGAAATTTCCCCAAAAAACAAAAAGTCACCGAGCTGAAGCATTATAGAAAGGCCAAAGAGAGAAACTAAATACAAAGTAAAAGAAATTCTCCTAAATAACTTGAATATGATGTTTGAAATTTATATAAGATACTTTTAGATAAATTCTTATATACCAATAAAGTTCATTAAGTATATTTTTAACCTTACTTTTTTAAGATAAAAATGTAAACTTTCAAAAGATGTCCTTTGTTTAATACTTCATTGATGAAATAATATTGAAAAAAGAGAATATATAAAAAAAATAATATTATAAAAGTATTATTAATGAAATTTTATTTTTATTAAAGTGTCTTATATTTTGAAATGTTGAATATTCTCTAAAAATATCTTTTAATTTGAGACTAAGGGAGTATTATCTATGAGTGTTATTGATTGTCATGGCAAACCTAAGAAAAAGCATGTTGAGCAAATCTTAAACATATGAAAATGAAGAGAAAATGAGACGAATCTTAAGTTTGTTTCCTTGAGAATCGACGCAGAATCAAATAATTCCTGTATTTCCGCCTACCATGTGATGATGCCATGATGGCTTTGTGGAGGATTTTATTTGGATCGCTTGTCTTGTTTTGCTACCATTGTCTGCGTTGTGTCATGTGTGGTTTGTCTTTGTCCTTCTGTTGCAGGTTTGTCATTTTATACTTTTATTTTAATATGTTTTTAGCCCACCAGAAGGTAAGGAGAATTAAGGCTCGGATGAGACCAATGAAATTTAATTCAGTCGATAAAAATTTTATTTATAACTCACTTGTGCATGAAATCAAATATTATTATCCACGTAAAAATATTATTAATGGGTGACCAATAAATATATCTGTAAATATTTTTTTAATTTGTAGGCATGCACTAGTTTTAACTAAGCTATGAGGAGGTAACGCACCTAAATTTCAAATGTTATATTAAAAAAAAGAAAACTCAAATGAGTGATTGCTTTTACTTTGTTCAAAAAGCAATATACGCGGGTAAGTTGGAACTGGAAGTCTAATTATGTTTGTGCGGAACTCAGGAAGTAGAACCTTGAAAATTTATGGCCTGTTTGGTTGTTTTTTTCTTGTTTTTTTTTTTAAAATTATTTGTAATATAGTTTTGAAAATTGTTCTTCAAAACAAAATAAAAAATTTCATTGATTATATTAATTTAAAAATATTTTTAAAATTAAAAACCAGTTTGATCTTCCAATATTAATAATAGTGACTTATGATAATAATTGATAAAATTAATTATAACCTTTAACAATGAAGTGTAATGTGTGCTAAAAATAAATAAATAAAACAGAAATAAATTGAAAATGATTTATTTTTTATTTTAAAAAACAAAAGAGTAAATAATTAAATTATTTCCTAAACTTTAGATCTAGTAATACTATAGATTCTAAACTATTTATTATAATAATTATTTTTTAACTTTTGAAAAACAGTGTAATTACCCTTTGTTATTAACAAAACTTAATTTTGATTGTTAATTGATCAGAAAATAATAGAAAATGACCAAAAAAAATTGATCCTTTTTCTATTTTTTTGGATTTTTGTTGTAACTTTTAAATCATTTATTATACTTTTGTGCATTTTTTACAATTTTGATATCTATTTTATCATTTTATATCAATTAATAGTCAAAATTAACTTTTATTAATATCATGAAGAAAATTAAACCATTTTAAAAATTTGAGAAAATAATTTGTACAATAAATTTATAGTTCTACTATACCAAAAGTTTAAGGGGAGTAATTTACTCATTTACTCAAATAAAAAACACAGCTTTAAAAAAGTTAAATTCAAAACACTGATATAAACGGATTTTTTAAACTTTTTTATTTTCAGAGACACAACTGATTTTAAAAATAGAAATCAAACAGGCTCAAGTATTTTGTATTCATTTCTCCCATTATTAATATTAATGTTATGGAACATTCACGGGAAGCGAGACTTCTTTTTCCAAACCAAAAAAAAAGAAGAAGAAGAAGTACAATTAACACTTTAATCACAACAAATTCAACACTTTCCATCAATACATAAATTGTCAACAATACGGGAATTGCTAAGCTTAATAACAAATAATCCAACCTTGGCGTTTAGCAGCATTTTCAGTAAAAGAAAAGTAATGCACTTATTTTCAATAACATTATAGTACCAACTAAACCGAATTTTGGATACTAATATCTAACTAATCACACTTACTGGTTGAGGTCATTATCACCACACGTATGTATTGGACACTAATTTGTTGCCACCTACATATATATTTTCTTTGTTTTCCCTCTGAGTTTATATGAGTTGGACTTCTACATTGTTCTTTCTTTCTTTTCTTTTCTTTTTTGGGTACATAACTTCTACATTGTTCTTTGAAAATTAAAAATGTACATGTTTGATGCTTATGAGTTTTTGTTTTATTTTGTTACTTTTTTATTTGAACAAACAAAACAAAACAAAATTCATGCCACGCTAGACTTCTTTAAAAAAAATAGTGATGAAAATAAAATTTAATTATATATGTCCTTTTTAAGGATGTAAATCTTTCAAGCAGTGGATTTTGTTTTAGTGATATTAGAGTTATCTCTAAAACTAATGGGTATGAGTTCAAATCTATTAACTTATTAAAAATATTATATTTTTTTTGCATATGTAATCATCCATTTTTACAAAAAGTACTGATATATTAAATAGTTTTAAAAGAACAATAAAATAGTAGGAGATCTCACGCAAATTTTATGTTATGGTCATTCAATACTGTAGAATACTAATGACTGTATTTTTAATTTTTAATATCAAATAATAGTAATTCAAAATAGTTGTGCTTAACGACAAGAACTTAATATTATATAAGACTTATCTGTTTTTTAAAATGTTATCTGTTGTTTTAAATAAAATTTGAGGAAAATATTTGCAAGGGTTCAGTTGCAATCTGGACTGTCCTAATTTACTATTATTACTTTCATATTTTATTGTATAATTATTAAAATATAAAATATAAAATTACAATTTTTATAAATTAACAATTTATAAAAATTGTAAAAAATAATATTAAATTGTACTATTTAAATTTAATTTATATTATTTAAAGTAATAATAAAATAAATGTATTAAAATTTTATAATTTTTTATAAAAAATAAAAATAAAAATAAATTTTATAAAATCCGCACCGTTCGATGATGGCCAAAACTGAATCCAATTTGCAAGCCATCATTGTCTTCAGTCTCTCGGATGTCAATATCCTAATGAAGCTTGAGCTGACTGCATATTAGATCGCTGTATTTGGCTGATGAGATTAATCAGATACTCTTTTTTGCTCAAGCTTATCAATAATTTCGTGATCCTCTTCTCCACTGGTTGAAGCTTGAAGAACTTGAAAGATTCTACTTCACCAATCTTCAGTCCCAGAGCGTGACGAGTTTTCTTCACCTGTTAATTTAGTTTGTAAGTTCCCTTAATTCTTCAGCACCTTGCCTGCAATTGCTTCCTTTTGGTGAATCATTTTATCACGGCTCTGGACGCAGTCTTCATATCATACTTATCGTTCGTGTTCGATTTGGTCCAAGCTTATCAACAATTTCGTGAATCCTTTTCTCCGTTAGCCGAGGCCAACTAGACAAATTTTTCTTTTACTATTCTTCAAAGGGGTTTTAGTTTTCTTCGTCTGCTGATTTTAAGATTGTAACTTTCTCTGTTTCTTCTGCACCTTACTTATAATCTGCTTAACCTTGTCGTTGAGCAATAACCACTCTTTCCATTTGATTTGTTTTAAGATTCTGGTCACAGTCTTGAGGTCTTGTCTTTACTTCAATGATTTTGGCTAAGAGATTTGGTGGTTAATACGATTAAGGTATTGTCGTATATGAACTATTGAAACCCATTTTGCTTTCTTATGGATCTTGTTTTGTGTGACAGTTGTTATAATTTGAATCGATTTTCGTATAAGGGGCTTGCACATTCACTTATGTATTACTATGTGAACTATTGCAGAGGGGAGTTCTATTCTTTGTCTTAAAGTGCTTAAGAAAAATGTCAGGAGTTGTGGCTGGCTTGCAAGTAAATGAGATGAAGTCTAGTGGGGAAGATCTTCAGACTGCTATAGTTCCATTGTTGAAAATTCTCTCCCTAACGGTCATAGGACTGCTCCTTGCAAACCCTAAACTGCAAATCATCCCCAGAGCAACATTTAAACTCCTCAGTAAACTTGTATTTGCTCTGTTCTTACCATGCCTAATCTTTACTGAACTTGGTGAAAGCATTACCCTCCAAAACTTTGTGGATTGGTGGTTTATTCCTGTAAACGTGCTTGTGAGCACTGCTCTTGGTTGCATGCTGGGGTTCTTAGTGGTGGTAATATGTCGTCCACCTCCTCAATTTAACCGATTTACCATTATAATGACTGGATTTGGAAACACTGGAAATCTCCCTCTTGCTGTACTTGGTTCTGTCTGCCATACTTCAAATAATCCATTTGGAACTAATTGCCACTCAAGAGGGGTTGCTTATGTCTCTTTTTCTCAATGGGTTGCTGTAATTCTAGTTTACACTCTTGTTTATCACATGATGGAGCCTCCTATGGAATATTATGAGCTTGTTGAGGAAGAGGCTGAAATTGAGGAAATACGCCCGCTTAACGATATCAGTAGGCCGCTCCTTGTAGAAGCTGAGTGGCCTGGGATTGAAGATAAAGAGACAGAACATTCCAAGACACCCTTTATTGCCAGGATCTTTAAGAGCATTTCAGGAGCTTCCGCAACCACTATACCTGATCTTGAAATTCCCCGGAAAGCAGTGGGAACAGTCCTCGGTCCATCAGGTGTTTGGCTGAGCCTAGAGTTGTTAGGAGGATCAGAGTTGTTGCTGAACAAACTCCAATTCAGCACATACTTCAACCCCCGACAATTGCCTCTCTATTAGCTATCATCATCGGCTCAGTGCCTCACCTGAAAGCATTTGTCTTCGAAAAGGATGCTCCCCTATCTTTCTTCAAGGACAGCTTGGAAATTTTAGGTGGTGCCATGGTGCCTTCTGTGATGCTTGTTCTCGGGGGAATGCTTGCTGAGGGCCCAAATGAGTCTACACTTGGACTTAGAACTACAATTGGTATTATTGTGGCTAGACTCCTTGTGCTTCCTATTATGGGAATTGGAATTGTGGCATTGTCTAATAAACTGAATTTCCTGGTTGCAAATGATGCCATGTTTAGATTTGTCCTTCTGTTACAATACACTACACCGAGTGCCATTTTACTGGGAGCAATAGCCAGCTTGAGGGGTTATGCAGTTAGTGAAGCTTCAGCGATTCTCTTCTGGCAACATGTGTTTGCCCTCTTCTCTCTTTCCTTGTACATCATCATCTACTTCAGAATACTTCCATTCATCTGATGCTGCTGCATATTTTGCTACCTCTTGACTGAGGAGGAACAGTTTGCACATTATCGCAATTGCATCATCCTTTGGAGTATAAGGCTTAATTCAAGTTGAGTTGTTTCCTGGTCTGTGCTGCAATTGTAAGTGTGATGGATGGAAATGGTGTTCCTCCTATGAATTTCAGCTTCTAAGGTCAATGATGTTTTCCTTTTGAAAGATGGATTTGTCAAACAATTTGCTGTATTTTCTTCTGGTCCCAGAGTGAGGGGTAATGAATTAGCTCAGATTTTAAGTTGTTTATAGGTCAACTTTCTTTTTTATGTTGCCCTTTTCTCTTTTATGTTGTCTTCTTAATCATTGAAAGTGTGAAATGAATACTTTATTATGGTTTGTGCTGAGAACCTCTGTTGCTGAGCTGCAAAGTTTGGTTTCTTCTCATGTACCGAGCTTCACTTAGTTCATTGTGTCCAAAGTATATTGTTTTAACTCTTAAAGGGGGATACGTTACAATTTGCAGATATATGAGAGCCAAAAAAAAAAATCTTGAAGTCCTCACCATGGGATATTATTATGACGGTCTGGTTTTCTGAAGGAAATTGAATACATTCTTAGGTATGTAACTTTTCATAGTTTTGCTTATTTTAGCTACTCAATAAATGTTTCACCTTGATGATGATTCTGTCTCGATGGGTTTATGTTTTCTGCATGAGAGAAAGAAAGGAAATTGAACAGTTTCATGACAGGTGAGAAAATATGCACCATTGCTGCTTATACTTAATTTCTTTCTTTCTTTTTTAAATAAGATAATTATTATTTTTGTCTTTGTGGGGATTCTTGATAATCGTCTACCATCTGACTTTAGTGCATAATAAGACCAAGCGAATCGCATAACATATCTTTAAGATCTCCAATCCAAGATATTATTGAATAGAATAGCTTGTTTTTGGTGAATTCCCTTCTCATGAAAGCAAAGTTCCTGTTTCTTAATAGCACTAGACCTGGATGAACCTAAGATGAATTGCACAGTTCACAACTTATAATCTTGGGTCAAAGTTTATTATATATGAATTTGGTTGTTTTGGACAAAACTTTTGTGCAGTTCCTTGGATTCTTGGGAGCCTGCTTTAATAAATCACAACATGTGGATCCTAAATCGACTACTGCAAAGTTCAGAGTTCCTTGTTTTGTTTTGTCTTCTTTTCTGTTGGACGAGATTCTTTTATGTTTGTTTGGTTATTATATATATGTATGTATGTATGTATGTGGGAAAAAAAAAAAAGTTGCGATGATGGTGTTTCTCTGTCACGAATGAGGAGGACTGATTAATTAAATAAAGTTGTCTTCTTTTCTGTTGGACGAGATTCTTTTATGTTTGTTTGGTTATTATAGTATGTATGTATGTATGTATGTATGTATGTATGTGGAAAAAAAAAAAAGTTGCGATGATGGTGTTTCTCTGTCACGAATGAGGAGGACTGATTAATTAAATTTAGAGGTATTATCTTTAGAAAAGCCGAGAACAGAGCGTTACTCTATTTACTTGCAAGGCCTAAATTAGAGTGATACTGAACTATTTATCTGTAATTTACAAGCACTTTAATGGATGCAACGGCTAGAAAATATGTTGTGATCATGATACATTGAATCAGGGGAAAATTATGTTCTTTCATGATTTAGATAAGAAGGCGAGTATTACATATGTGAATTTTAGTGATGCTCAATTGCTCATGCTATCAAAACTGGCTTGTTGCTCAGTTGAGTTTGATGCTGATCTATCCTTACCAATTACTCTCTCAATTTTTATATATAAAAAAAAAAACTATATCACATAGTATAAGAAAGTTGATTAATCATAATAATTATGTTTGAAAATAAAAAATTAGATTAAAATGCTCTATATTAATTAATATAAGTATACATTAATTATTTTTTGTTAATGTAAATCATGAGGGGCGATTTAGAAAATGTGTAATAAATATTTATTAAAATAAGTGATTTTGTTTATATAAAAAAATAAATAAAAAGTAATAGTTTCTCTTTTAAATAGAGACAGAGTAGTAATATAGATCTTTTTTAATTAATTATATTAAACTCTAACTAATTTGAATAAATTCAAACGGGATTTTATTTCATTATTTCTTCAAATTTTCCATGTAGATGCATGAGATTATATTATGGATAAACATAATTTTTGGTCCTTATATTTTACCTGTATTTTGCTTTTGGTCCTTATGTTTTTTTTTCGGTATTTTAGATCTTATATTTTTATTTTTCATTATTTTGAATCCTTAACAAGGTCTTTATACTTTGCTCATAGAGGAAATGAAAATAATAAAAAATAAAAATATAAAGATTTAAAATATCAAAAAAATATAAAAATTAAAAACAAAACATAAGTAAAGTATAAAAATTAAAAATTATATTTATCCTTATAGTATTGAAAACTGTGTCAATCTGAAAAGTTAAACTAATAAACTGTTAAATTAATATTTTAATCAATTTAATAAATATTTTATTTATAATTAATATGATCAGGATCAATTATAATTATTTTAACAGTTAACAGTTAGAATTGACATTTTGATTAATTTAATGAAAAGTAGTTCCTTGCATAAGGCAACGCACTCACTTCCAAATCCCTTGAGATTGAGGTAAAAAAATTCCAAATCCCAATTCCCTAAGGGCCTAGGCTTTGTTTCGACGACTGCACCGCATTAAGGGACCGACAAGGCGACAAGGATGGCCTACCCAATGTGCATGCGACTAAAATAAACTTTATGTACATTGTTCACTGCATTCATATGTTATTTTATAAATTAGAGATAAGGACACGTTTTACAGATAGTGACTTCTATTATTTATATTTTATGAATAATAATTCTTATTATTAAATTTATATATCATGTTAATGATTAATTTTATTTTAAATTACAACAAATATAAAATATAATTTATTTATAAACCTAAATCTAATGATAAAAGATATCTTAATTTTTTTATATCTTTCATGGTTGTGAATTATGTTTAATTTAATTTAATTTAATTTAAAAGACCTTGATTATAAGACTATGAATTACTGAAAAATACTTTTGTCTTTTTTTAATGAAGAGCGATACAAAGCCTTGGGAGGGAAGGAAAGGGGTTAACCCGTAAGAGTTACCCGTTTGTAATTAAACACAGCCTCAGGAGGTTTATGCATTGTGGATGGTAGAGGAGTTATTCACGTCAAGCCTGACAGGCTACTGCTAGCTTAAATTAATTCGCAAAATTTTAAGATCAAATTTAAAAATTTTAAAAATTTTATCTATTTCAGACTTATTTGAAACAATCTGACTAAGTCTGAATCCAAATAAATTTAACTTGGATATTCAAATTCTTTTATATTATTAATAAAATAAAATTTATCTTCACTTAATACACACAAACTCTCTTTCCAACTCTTAGTTTGAACAATTCACACTTCTAAATGAAGTTTTAATGTTCTAATATTGTTTATTTTGAATACTTTTCCAAAGTATTAAGGAAAAAAAAACACAAGCCTGAGTTAGATTATTTTACATGCTTTTATTTTTATTCATTCAATACTTGGTCTCACTTTAATAAGAAAAAGAAAAAAATGTAATATAGTGTTTTGTTGCTTGAACAATTTCAATTTTAAGATAAAAATTGAAATTGATTAAAAAGACACAATAAAAAATAATATAAACAATATGGGTATTCAGACCAATCCGAATAAGCCTGAGGTGTTAGGGCTACATTTACCTATATAGGCTTTTTTTGTATATTTAGATATTTTAACTTAATTCAAATAAATTCGGCCTGAATTAACACACCTGTAGAATTACCGCCCTAGTGAAGGCTGAAGGGGATACTCTCTAGGTTAAAAATATAAGACATTTTTTTTAAAATTAGATGTTAAAAAATATAAATAATTTTAGTTTTTTAATTTGTAATTAACAAATTTTTTTCAGACATTTTACCTTTAAGTAAGATATCCTATTAAATAAAAAAAATGAAAAAGAGACATTAATGACAATTAACTATTTTATTAGGGAATGCAATTCAATTAATAATTCTTGATATTTTTTAATAGAGAAAGTATCTAATAATCATCTCTATTTTTTATCTAAAAAAATTTAGATAAGTTGGATCCCGAAAGCTCACTAGGGTCAAGGCATCCAAGCGAGTCAAAGAATGCTTATAAGTTATAAACATACTGATGGAATATGAGATAATGGTTAATTAAAATAATTATGATTTATTTAAGATATTATGATTATTCATTAGAGATATACAAATAAGGATATTTATTCATTAGAATTAAGATTTATTATTTTATTTTATTATTATCTTAGATATCAACATATTTAAGATTTGAATTAGATTTAAAATTTAGGTTTGAATTTAAATTATTATTATTCTTATATCTCTATAAATAGAGTTAGATTTTTCATTTATATTCAGCTTTTGATTATTTTTAAATAAAAATTTTTTAGAGTTTCAACCTTCTCTCTCTCCTTCTTCTCTTTTCCTTCTCCCCACCTCTTCATCCTCTCTTTACTCCCTCTCTCCTTTACGTTTTCTATCATATACTTATAAATTACCTATTAACAAGATCTTCTCATCTACAATGAGATTTTAACTTACAACTTTATAAGTTATAGGTTAAATATTTATTAATTAGATCAATTTTTGTTAGTTTTGAATTTTGGCAATGGTCTCTTTAACTATATTGTGAGCCTCTTTCACTAACAAATCAGCCTAATCATTTATATTTGTGCTGCTATAATCAAACTCAGCTTCTCTTCGGCGGTCCATATTGTAAAGGTTTTTATTTTTATTTTCTTAAAATAAAAAATTACAAAATTGTAAAAAATTTTTAAATAAATTTGTTCATTTTCATCACTAATCTGAACCATACAAATTTAATCTTGATAATCTTATTTAATATTAAATTTTTTAATAATGTTTATAAATTGATTATGTAGATATAGCATGGAAAGTTTAGTTTTAAAATTTTTAACTTATAATTTCTTTAAAAAATATTTTTTGAAAAGTACATGTTATAATATTTTTTATTTTTTAATATTATATTTACCAGAACAAAAATTATAAAAAAATTAATATTAAAATAGACCATTCAAATTAAATTTATATTATTCATATTAGTAATGAACAAATTTATTAAATTTATTTAAAAATTTTGATAAAAATAAGATATAAATATAAATAGAAACAGAAAAACAAAAAAAAATCTTTAAATTTAAACCGTGCCAATTTAATCTGGACGGTGTATCTCAGCGGACGCATAGAGGATGGATTGCGTATCGGACAGAAGCTAAGTTCGCTATAATCATATGATATCCCTCTCTCTCTGTTTTTTTTTTTTTTTTTTTTCAAATGAGAGTCATGTGACATCTCTTAATCAGCACAATTATGAAATGTTAATCATGAGACTAGTGGCGTCGACCGTGGAGGAGGCAATGAATTGAATCCGTTGACTTCCAATATGCCTCCGGACGAGACAATCGTGTTCCCAAAGCAAACACGCAACGCACGGTCTTCCCCATACCCATTTCATCTCAAACTAATCTCTTTGTGTTTGTGATGAAGATGAAACCAAATGAGGCTTAAAAGTCTATGAAAAATCCCAATACTACACAACTCTTTTCATGCTGTTCACGTGGCACGACGCAGCGCTTGACTGCGTTTCCCAAAGATTCACAATTAGCCTTTTGCTTTACTTATTTTACATATTCTTGGGTATAATTTGGTATCCAAAGTGTAAAATAATTTCAAAAAAAGGTTTAATTTAATATATTTCTCCAATATTATCCTTTCATTATTATATTCTTTCTTTATTAGAGGAAAGGTATTTTATAAAATTTTTATTTTTATTTTTAAAAAATAAGGTGATATTGATCCAATCATGTATTGACTATCATTTCACTACAATTAAAATGGTGAGTATAAGATAATGTTTAAAGTTTTTTTTTGTTTTTTTATTTTTTATGAAGGTTTAAAGTTTTCAAGGTTAAATAGGCAATTCACAATGCTGTGCTCAGGAAAACAAATACCCACGAACAACTGCTTGCATTTAGACTACCAATTAATGGGGATTATGAAAACACCTTCAGAGTGTACATCTTCATGGGTTACGACATCAATTACCCTCCCACATATGTGATTTGATTTTCCTACATTTTCCTTTTTCAATTATTAGGCTTTTGTCTCCTCTCATAATAAAAAAAAATCATCATTCAAACAATTTAAATGATTTGTATTTAATTTATTCAGAATTTGATTGGATGACTATAATTCATGTAAGATAATTATGTATCTCATGAAGAGTAGAAAATGCAAAATATATACTCCTTCTATTAAAAAATATATGATATTTTTTGAGGAGTTGGATGTTTAAAAAAGTAAGACGTTTTTAGTTTTTTGAGATGTAATCATTGTCTTTTTTTTAAAAGTGACTCTATTAATAAATGACTTCATATTTATCGTAAGGTATTTAATAGGGGTAAATATGAAAATATAAATTAGTTTAAAAATAAGTAACTACTTTATTGAGGGTGAGATTCTGTTAAAAATGCCGTATATTTTTAAACAAAAATAATATCTATATATATTACTTATTATTCTTATTATTAATTGAAAATAAAAAATATTATTAATTCTGTTTTTCAACTCCAGGATAGTTCAATCCTCAAAATAGTTTTGGTAGTTTTTTAATGTTTAACTTAATTTTTATAATTTTTTACTCAAATAACTCAAATATTATTATACTCTCTATGCTCAATATTATAAGGCTTTTTTTTTTTTAATCCAGTTACACCTTCCATGAGTTACAATCTGTTTGGGTTTTGTAATTTTCAAAACAGTTTTTTATTTTCAAAAACAAAGAAAAAATAAAAAAACTTGTTTGGATGAGTTTTTTTAATTTAACTATTTTCAAAATTGTTCTCATTTTTTGTTCTAAAAAAATAGAAATATTTAAAATTTATTTTTTTATTTTCAAAATACATTACATTTAATTATTAAAAACTATAGTTACCTTAATCAATAATTATTATAAGCCATCATTATTAACAATTGGTGACTACATTATCGATTGATTTTTTACTTTTAAAATTATTTTTAAATTAGTACAACCAAGTAAATTTTCCTTTTGTTTTGTTTTGGAAAATAATTTCAAAAAATGCATTGCAAAACAATTTTTTAAAAAAATAAAAATAAAAATCAAATAGGCTATTAGTTAACTGACTTTAAATTATACTTTTTTCATATATATCTTTATTTAATATGATATTTCAATTAGAAAATTTTAATTACACCCTTAATTAAAAGATGTTTTTGGGAAAACCCTATTAATTACACATGGACAAACTTAAAATGATTTGTATTTTTTAATAAAAGGAGTAATTCTTTACTTCAATAAACTATATATTGTAACAAACTATAGTTCAAGAACTAAACCAAGGATTACAAGCAAGTTTAAGAATAAAAAATTATATTTCTCTAAATAAAATATATTCTTATATTACCAATAGGTATTTTCTTATTTTAATTTGTAAATAACCATATTTAAAGCATAATTAAGTATTAATTATGGACACTTTTTTTAATGACAATTTAATCCTTTGTTCATTATGTTGTTCTCCTTTCGTTTTTATATATAACAGAAAAAAATTATATCACACAGTTTAAAAAAATTGATTAATCATAATAATGTATGAAAATAAAAAAGTTAAATTAAATATTTTATGTTAATTAGTATAAGCATACATTCATTATTTTTTATTAATTTAAATTATAAGAGATGTTTTAGAAAATATATAATAAATATTTATTAAAATAAGTGATTGTATTTATATAAAAAATAAATAAAAATAATAGATACTATAAATAAAAATGGAGGGAGTAATTTGTGAGGGAGTAGCACCAATCACTAATCAGTTAAAATTAAATTTATTACGTGTACTGTTGAATACTTGAACTTTGAAAAAATTGTTAGCCAAAAAGGAACATTGATAATATTAATTTTGGATTTTAAATTAATAAAGGTATTAATTGACATTAACGTCGGGCAGCTGTGGGATCTTGTTCTTTCGCCGAATCTCCCCTTCCCAGTCCACCACGCGAAATGAGCCAATCATCTTCGATGTGGTCTTCGAGTCCAACCAAACCAACTTTATTTCTTATCTTCCACCATCCCAAATCCCTCTTCCCTTCCCTATATAAGGCCAACCCCGCACCTGGCAAACCCGCCACCACTCCACTCTAACCCTATCGTCCTTTTTCCTCTTTCATTACCACACATTTTCTATTATCATGAAATGAAGCCATTATCCTAGCCCCTTCTTCCGCCATATCTCCTAGATTTTTTCTTTCCTGATATCAATAACTTTGCACTTTTTCTGTTATCTGGGTTTTGTTTTTTCTTTCGTTCTCTTTTAAACCCACCATTGAATTCTTGAATCTGCTGCTTTATCCTATACGTTATTGCCTTGGTTTGATTCCATCTCAAGTTTTATTGGCTGATTCGGTTTCTGGATTTTGAAAGTTTTGCCCTTTGATTCTTATTTAATTCTCTGAAGGGGCTAGAAAGATGGCTATTCCTTATCCCCATTTCATTTCGTCTGAGAAAGCAGCGATGGAGGCGGGTCTTTTGGTGCCTTCGTCACCATCGTCGTCCCTATCTCCTCCTCCTGTGATTTTAACGCAGGACGATTTGAAGAAAATCGCCGCCTACAAAGCCGTGGAGTACGTCGAATCCGGCATGGTTCTGGGTTTGGGAACTGGGTCCACGGCGAAGCACGCAGTGGACCGAATCGGCGAACTTTTGCGTCAAGGCAAGCTCAAGAACATTATAGGAATACCCACGTCGAAGAAGACCCACGAGCAGGCGGTTTCGTTGGGGATTCCGTTGTCAGATCTCGATTCACACCCAACCTTGGATCTAGCGATTGACGGTGCAGATGAGGTCGATCCGTTTTTGAACCTAGTGAAAGGGCGAGGTGGGTCGCTTCTTAGAGAGAAAATGGTAGAGGGTGCTTGTAAGAAGTTCATTGTGATTGTGGATGAGTCCAAGTTGGTGAAGTATGTGGGAGGTAGTGGACTAGCTATGCCTGTTGAGATTATACCCTTTTGTTGGAAATTCACTGCTGCCAGGCTGCAAAAATTGTTTGAGGAGTCAGGTTGTGTTGCCAAGTTGAGGACTATTGGAGAGAAAGATGAACCATTTGTAACTGACAATGGAAATTACATAGTAGACTTGTACTTTAAGAAGAGTATTGGGGATCTGAAGGTTGCCAGCGATGCAATTCTGCAGCTTGCTGGCGTTGTGGAGCATGGAATGTTTCTGGACATGGCCACTACAGTCATTATTGCAGGTGAACTTGGGATAACCATTAAAAATAAATAGCCGAGTTCAGAATCCGATGGTAGTTTGATTGATTGAAGTTGACATGGCCATCTAACATTAATAGCTAGTGTAGTACTGGAGATTGTTGTTGTTAAGTGAATGAGGAGAGGTGGCCTTTTCGTAAAAGGCAATCAAGTCTCCTATATCCTAGTATTTGTGGATACAGCGGATGAAGAGAGTGCCTTCTTAAAATTTGTCATTCTTTTGATAGAATTTAAGCAAGCAGAGAGAAAATTGAGATGTGCTGTGCTGGATTATTAGTCTCCTGTAACAGCTTTGATGTGGCTGTTAATATAAAGTGGCCTCCTTATTTAATTCAAGCATAGATATTGTTCTTGATCTGGCTTAGATTTTGCTTCTTTTTCTGCTTAGTGGTTGTCATTGAAATTTGCCATTGCTGCTTACTAGTAACCATCTACTTGCCTAGCCAGTTTCAATCTCGAACAATTTCTATGCTTAATCAGAAAAGCCTATTCCAGCAACTTTCCATTTCCCCCTAATCATACAGTTTGTGTGATTCTAAAATCAGCGCTAACTTCAAATACATCGTTAGACCAATTGGTTCTATTGCTGGCTATAATGCATGTATTAAGGTGAAATACCCGAAACTCTGTGTTCCCCCTTCCTCCTATATTTTTGTAAAACCAATTGAATACAATATTTTCAAGAAAGTCTTTCACTCACTCTTCCTCTTGAGATAATGTCTTGATGCGTTTGGTACAAAGTAAAGGTACAGAGTCATTATCTATCATCAACAATGCCGTTTTTCTTTTCTTTCCATTATGTGTACCCAATGTGATTTTTCCTGTAGATACCTGAGGTAGCTTTAGTGACACATTCCATCTTGAACATTTGGAAACTAAAGTGCTTTCTTGTCTCTGAAAAGAGCTGTAGAGCTACCAAACCACAAAGCAATAGCAATACGTCTGGTGGTTAGTGGGATCCTTGTGGAAATTTTGCATGTGGGGCTGGATTGCTCCAAATTAGTGTTTAGGTTGTGGATGGCTGCAATTGTTGCTTCAAAGGCAACAAGACTTGAAACCTCCTTCTTTTCTTCACAGTTTAGTTGGCAGGTTCCTCAGCCATTCCTTGTCCTCTGACCTGGTTTTTCCGATTTGCAATGCATTGTACATCATATGGAAGACCCACCAATTTATATTGTAGAGAAGACTGCATGAATGGTATCATATTTGGGAAAGACATCATGGATACATGAGTCTCAGACTTCTGTAATTCTTGCTATGGTAGGTGTCTTGTCTTCTCATTTTCATATCTATCTAACTTTTCTGGGAATGCAAGGTATCTTGGCTGACGGAATTTGGTCATGTTTAATATCTCCACTTTCCTGGATGAGTTTTAGGATTATTTTTTGGGTGAGAACTAAAACTCATCCGTAGAGATGAAAATATTAAAATATATCTTATCACTTAGTTAAGTTTCTTGGATTCCTGATGACTGACTTGCTTCCAGGCTGTCCCTTGTCTTCAGGCATATGCTTCTTAATTTCGTTAAAATCTTTAAAACTTGGATTTTTTCCTGTCCATTTGTTGTTGGATATGATGCTACAGTACGGTGTTCTGTATATTTGTCCATTCCTGTAATTAGATTCTCTAAATTTTGCAAGCATGTCAAGCTGCTTCATTTGTAATATGCGAAATGCTATTTCTTTCACGGAAGCCAAACAAAGCCGTCTTATGTTATGGATATCTTGAGGCCATATAGTAAAGATCGCATTGATTTGATACCTTGGGTTTTGGCAAGCTCTATCATTGGACTATGGCTTCCAGGCTTTTCTGTGTAGAATTGCAGTATATTCTTGAACCTACCAAGAGAGGAAGGCGTATTGATGGACTCTACTTCATATCACCCCCCCCCCCGGGCCAAAAAAAAAAAGATCAAAAGTGGCAGGAAAAGAGACGAGCCCTTGACAGGCTCGAACTTAAAAGAGTCAGATTGGAAAAGGCTGCTTATACAAACAAGCTCCTGTTAGTAAATCCCAGCCCTCAACTTTCATGAGCTTAGCTCACTTGGGTTTTCTTGAGGGTGTGAGCTGGGTTGAATCGACTCATTTATCTTAAAACCCTATTGTATCACCCCAAGTTAATAGAATCATGCCATCGTTTGTAAGTCTTTTTCCAACCCTTTTCATGATGCTCGTGCTGTCCTAACAATGTTGGAAGTTTCAAAGCACAGTATATCGCATCTTTGAAGAGCCTATTCTGTGTGATAGTCAGTTACGAGAATGGTATGTTTGTTTGCAAACTTTGAGAGTCTTCTTGCACGACATTCAGAAGTTGCTGCACTTCTTCAGGTTTAATATGGGAGAAATCTTGCCTTTAGTAAAGTTGGGAAAATGGAATAGTCTCCTTGGGCAATTTACTAATCCTAATCTGCTAGATCTTGTAATTATTACTTAGTTGCTTTCTTTGTGATATTTGATCTTTTAAGTCAAAGAAAGAAAGAAAGAAAGATATGTTTTTGCTTGTACAGAATGTTTTGGAATTTTCTTGAAGGATATCATTATATTATAATACGATTTTCACCGCTCATCCTTAAGCTCTAACGGTATTGGTCAATAAAAAGTTAAAAACTACGCGTGTGTACTAATGTTAAAGAATTTTATATTGCTATCAAATATCATTTAAAACACGGAGATCACAAACACAAGCCTAAAGGACCCCTAGGAAAACTCCTAAGGGCCCCAACTGAACAAACATAAAAAGAAGCAACAAACGGAAAAGCAACTTACAGACTCGATTGAACAGAAACTACAAGCAGAAACATAACATACAGACTCAATAAACTAGGAAATTGAAAATAAAAGAGCGCACAGCATTTTAGACCTCGATAATTAAAAAAATAAAAAAAACTTAAATTCAAATATTAAATTTATATAGGTGACTAAATTAATCAAATATTCAGTCGATGTATAACGTATTCATATTTATGTTTATCTATTAATGTTTATTTTTATATATATTAGCTAGTGTAATTTACCATTTTTTTAAAAAATGACATAATATATTACATATTTTAAATTATATAACTTCTTATTTGAGATATTTTATTTTCTATCATAATTTATGAGTATATTTATACAAATGAGTTTCAATATATTAAAATACATTGTAGCCTAAAAAATATTAAAATACATGAATTGAGACTCGGTGATAGTATTATCATCATGGTTAAAAAAGAGACTCAGTGATAACATAAAAAGAGAGAAAAAAATTCATGGAAAGGAAAAATATTTATTTAAACTTACAATCTTTTTTTAAGAAGAAGGTCAAATGATAATATTAATAATAAAAGTTCAGCAGGCTACTGAGTCTTTTGCTTGTGCAAAGAAATAAAATCAAAACACTTGAGTGGTTGGAAAATATCTAGTGAGAAGTTGTTGGGAATGCCTGTGAATGGAATAAACTAAAAGCACCTTGATGATGGAAGATCTTAAAATCTCGAAACTGATAACCCGATTGTTGAGAAACGCCCGTGAAATTTTGGATCCAAAAAAGGATCGAACGCGGACATGCAAGGTACTGAAGTATTGAGGGTCTATTTGATTGGAAATTCATATCATAATTTTACATAACTTTTCACTGTTGAGAATGATAGAAGCTTACTGTAAGTCATTGTTTTTTCATATTTGTTATTTGAATTTTCCACGATCCATATGTGATGCATCTTGTAATAAGATGATTTGATACTGGCTCAATGTAAGTAAGAGGTGAAACATGCTGAGGTTTAATACCCTTGCTTACTACCTTTGTTTTGCTGTCAATTGTAAAATTCCGGATGCAAGCATTCTTTAAGAAACAGGAATGCCCTGAAAATTCCTTGATAATTTGTGATGGGGATTGATTGAGAGTACCATGTAGTGCTAGATTCCATTAGGCGTTGAAGGGAAAAAAAAAAAATCTCCTAGAATATCGAGTTTACCTTCTCTAAAGATTTGAAGTAGTTAGGATCCAATTAATTAAACCAATCTTTGAGATAATAATGAAGTGGATAGATAAAAAGCCAAACCAAATGACTTTAGAGAAAGGCAATCACAGAAAATATAATTCAGAGTTTCATCATAGTCACATTTAAAAAAAAAAAAAAGGAAATTGAGACAAGCATATGATGAATTTTTCTAATATCTCCCGTAGGAATGGCTTTGTCAACTAACTTTCATATGAAGAGAAGGGGTTTATAAGGAAAATGTAGTTTCCACTGGAATAACCAAATATTAGCATTTGAAAATGGATTTGCAAGCTCAAGTGGTTGTAGAAGTAGGTTGTAGCTTACTTTGACAATGTAGGTACCTTTCATTTATACGATCGCTTGCAAACCTATCCCGATAGTTTAGAGGGGAGAGGGTTGTTTTATTTGAAAAACTTCTAATGATGCTAACTCTAGTATTCATTCTGCATATGATTTTTTATTGGAAAAATGACACATAAAGACCTCCTAAGGACATTAATCTCAATTGAGGATCATAAAATATGAAAATCCCAATTAAGGATCATTGAGATTTAAAAAACTGTAGATGGTCTTAAATACCCATGAGAAAAAAATAGCAAAATACCCGTGTGCGCAGCCTCATTTCTTGCTCTGTTTCAGTGTCTCTTTCTTTCTTCTTTCTTTCTTTCTCCTTTGTTTTTGTTCTTTTTCGTTCCTTAGCGTGTCCATATTAACTCCAGTATTGTGAACACATCATACTAGATTTATGATTTGCTGTCGTTCATCTCTGTTAGAACTTCGTGCTCTTTCCTCTCGCTCAGCTTCACCTTTCTGAAATGGTAGTGACATTGCCACTATCAGAGAGAAGATTGATTAACAAAGCTGAAGAAATTGTTGATGATGAGCACACCATTGAGGGAAAGAGTACACTGCTGTGAAGAAACTACTTAGAACAGAAACTTGCAACTCAAAAATAGGGAATGTAGGATTGGCTATTCCAATAAATGAGGAAGAGAAACTCTCCCTAAAAAATAAAAATGATGTCTACATGTATTCAAATCAGTGTAATATAATGCAGATATCTATTTTAGGTTTAAATGCATGCAAGTGTAAATGCTGTTATCACGTAAGACAGCTGAAGTCATTAATGTAGCATAGAAATATTGGTACTGTAACTAATGAAAACATAAAACCTCACTTAAGAAGAAATTTTTCACAGTATTTTAGACTTTGAAGTGTAAATACTATCATAACATAAAACTCACTATTAAAATGTTCTAAGGCTGCTTATGAAAATACAAATATCACTTAAGAAGTCACTAACTTCAGTGAAGAATATGAACACTAATGTGACTTGTTAAATTTCTCTAACTCGACTGAATTGGGATCCACTAACATCACTTAGGAATTTTACTAACTCAACTCAGGAAAATGGTTAATATATATTGTGAAAACATAAAACCCTA